AACATATAATGGATAGAGGTCTTGGTATTGTTTCTAATTTTTGTCATTTTTCCACTATATTGTCATGTGTGTGCATTTTATCACTTTTTATAATACATATTTACATATATATATATATATATATATATATTTTGCATAGTAGTACATGCATTTATGCACCAAAGAATTTTTATCATCATGAATGGAATTTATGTGATCTTTAATTAAAACAGTGTTGATTTAATTACTTTTTGTTTCCACATAAGACATACAGTAATTGTTATTAGGAGAGATATTTTGTTGTTATTATTATACTTATTTAATTTTATTCTATATTTCCCACATAAGTCACTTTGCAAATGAATCACTTTAACTAAATTCCATGGTGATACTGTTTCTTCAGTACACATAAATGATAATTATTTCTCTTGTGTGTATCGTACGTTCTGTGAAGGAGAAGAAATTAAAATCATTATTGTTATATCTCAGTACAAAAATTATCTTTTTTAACTTAATTTTTTAAGGAACTGACTGCAGTCAGATGTTTGTAAGTTTAACCTCCACTGTGAGTGCTTCAGTCATCATCCGCCAGAAAACCTATGTTATGTTACACATGTAACATTGTGCATCTTCCTAGAAATAATTGGACACCAAATTACATATGTTCCCTGGTAAAGTGAACCTCGCTCACCTGGAACTTGTTTTATTTACTGTTGTCTTAGCTGAGCATGAATTTATATTTACGTCTATAGCAGGCACTTTTTTTCAATGCAGGTGCATATAAAAAAGACTGGAATATAATTTAAAGCATATTTGATGCTGTGTTTAGCAAAAGATAAAGAGTCAACACATTCACTGCCATCTTGTTTCTGAATCTGTACATGTGACTTATATAAAGTACCCATAATTCTGGAACAGAAAAGTGTCACAAGGGTATCACAAACTTTTGCAGAGTTGGGCAAAATTAAAACTTCTGTTAAAATTTTCTAGTGATTATTCATTTGTTCTGATGCACACTAAATTCTTACTCTAGAAATTGTATAAATTATCATTTCACTTAAGCTTTCAGCAAGTATACCGTGCTTGTCTGGTCTGAAGATTCATATTGGCCATTATGGCCAGTATAGGATTTTGGCATTGTACATAGCAAATTCATTTGTTTCCTTGCTTCCTTCATTAATTGTTAAAAATGTTTTCATTTCTCATTTTGCCACTGAAATTTAATTAAATGTCAGCAGCATCTATAAGAAGAACAAACAACTTTATGCATCTCTGATGTATCTAGGCAGCATATTTTGTCTAGGGCAGTCTGAGAAATACTCTCATAGTCTAACTCACTAATATTGTTTTTAATCTTAATGGAGATGTAGCTATACAAAATGCATTCATCAAATTTATAATTTTGGTTAATGTTTGTTCCATAACGGACATCGATAATGACACAATTTATGCGTTTCACTGGGCAAAATATGCAAAAGAATAGCAAGGCCCTCTGAAATTATGGTAAACTTCTACCAGACTACATGGCACTATAACCCAGAAAGAGCCATCTTCAAAGTAATAGCTTTACTTTGACTGCAGCTGTAGATAATTGAAAAGCACAGTGTATGTATGATGAATGAAACATAGCAGAAAGACGTGAAACATTTCACAAATAAGATTGACAATATTGGGTTGAATTTATGTTTCAGTATTCTGTGTTAGTTGCAGTGGAGGTTGAAAATTTGAATTGTGATGTGTCACAATAGATACCTCAGAATTCCAGTCTATCTTATGAAATAAAAATTTGCTATTAATTTGGTATTGCACTTCAATCTAAGAAAAAGGTATAGGGGTGTCCACAGAGATAAATGACTATAGTAGCTATGCTAAACTTCTGGTTTCAGGTCTCAGAATGTTCACTGGGATCGGACCCAAAATTTAACAATCTTTTTTTATATATATATATATATATAACATTGCACCAAAGAGATGAGAATAGAGTTATGCTTCAACAGTACTGACTTCATCTACTGCATACAAGTAAACAATATTTTAAATATGGTAATTGGTCTTTTTCCTAATTGGCCAGGCATCTGCAGCCTGTGAGTGTATATTAAATCCACATTTTATGAATTTCAGAATTATGTGCAGTATTAATCGATAAACCTTTTTTAAGAAAGTTGGAGATATCCTGCCTTGGCTGTTTATAAGCAAGTGTAAATTCATTACTCTGTGGATATCTTGGAATTATTTAAGAATCAGATGAAAACTTCTATTTACTTATTAGTTTGAAATTGTGATAATGGACTGTTTAAATTTAATGCTAGAATATGACACTTGCTTCATAAAATGTGTTTATAACTGCTTTCTGTTCAGTTTATTCAGTTGAATAACTAAAACTGTGAAAGATCCCACATGTGACTTTGGGATTCACCTGTGAGTTCTGTTCTTTCACTTTGCTATGTCCAAAAGAACCTTGAGTATCCAAAGGCTTGAGTGGATATTTGAAAAAGAAATAACCCATAATTTCACATAAAATCTTTACATGTGGAATAACTCTTGAAAATAATTGTCACTAATGTATTTATTGGTATTGCAATGCTTGTTACAGTGAGCCATATACGGTTTGCTTATGATTTGTTTGTTGTCATTACTGCCATACATTCTGTTTGCAGACCTGCAGGCTGTCTGTTCACTCACATATTTTATATAATTAACCCCCTTGCATCCAAGCATAGTGTTAGAGGTGAATGTAAGAATTTCCAGGCTGTTCTTTAAAAATTAAGTAACATGTAGAAGAGAGAGACTGTATCCAAGGAAGGAGGTAAAAGCTAATATTTTGCGTATTTTTTACCTCTGAATTAGTATTTATGTAAGAATTATACACAATGTGAAAGGTTGTAAACATCAGTTCAAACAGATCAGAAAATACTTCATTGGCTGAATCCACTTACTGGAAGTAACTAAAATACTAACAAGGGTTAAAATAGAAAACCTTTTTGAAGTCCCTATGAGATCTTTGTTTATAGTTCAATGTGACATTACATTTTGCAAACTGAAAAGTGGAAGTATGGAATTCAGACTCTGAAATAAGCTGCCTTTCTCATTTCTCTTCCCTTTTCATTAAAAAATTTTAATGTGTGCAATATATTTACCTTCATTCTGCCTGGGGAATTTATTTTTCTTGTCATAAGTTTTGCTTGTTACTGGGCCACCTCTTAACGAGTCTGTTTAAGCACAGCTAAAATTGTCTGTTTTGTACTCTGAATTTCAACTTGTCAGCCTGTTTCAAGCATAAGAAATAATTTGACCCCAGAGTAATGTTTATTAAATCTTATTTTATCCACATTTAGGATGCTCAAGTTTCTGCTATACATAATTTAGTTTGTATTATAATGATGATGTACTTGATTTACTTAATGTAAGAATAATATTGATGATGTGATAGATTTATGGAATGGGCAGTTTGACATGGCTGATGGATCTCTATTTTTTTGTTGTGTGTTTTTTATCATGTTTCTTGTATCATGATGTTTGTACAGACAAGTGTGTCATATTTTGACCAGCCCTTGTGAAATCTTCACCAGGGTCTTCAGAAAGAAAACATTCTGTTTATTCATCCACTGCCAAATGGAGTTACATGTATGTAGCCTGTCCAAACCAACAAGACTTATTGATGTCTGGTGGTTTTGATGGTTTAAAATACATAATTAATTTTGCATAAGAATCTAACAAATTTATTACTTTGTGAAAATATAAAAGACTTCATGTATTTTAAGACAAATATTTTTATATTTATTGTGATGCATATAACAGTACCTTAACATTCAGTTGCTTTCCTCCTATTAATGGTTGGGGCTGTAACTACAATGGGATATGATGGTCTGTATATTAATTGTTTATTACATTTGAGTGCAGACAAGGTGTGAATTAATGGAGAAAACCTTTGCTTTAAGTTTTGAATTTACTGATATTATGTAATGTTTACTGTACAGTCTTTCTTCATGAAGTGAACTAACATAACACCTTTTATATTCCGGAAAATGGTTGACATTACCTTTGTGGGACATTACCTTTTTGTGTGCCCAGTAAATTTTAATATGAGGTTTTTCAACCACCTGCAATCTTATATGCTACAAAGAAATTAACAGTAAAGGTTTTCGGCATATACAAGGTAAACTAGACTAACATGCGTGCTTCCCACCTTCTGCAGGGAATGCAGGTCATGAAATGAGCGGAAGAATTCAGTTGCAGGGCAATTAAATTGAACTGGATGCAGCATTGGTATGGTCCTAATACTAAATAGATTACTACACATATTTCTAAGAACAGAGTGGTGGTTGTAGTAGTATTACACGACAGGAAGGTAGGTTATTAATGGTTTGATTCATAAGATATTTTTAATCTGTTGGGTGCTCTGGAGTGGATTATTTTTACAAAATGAAGTCCTGCAGCCAGGGAATTACCCAAGCCACTTGTGATGGTAGAATTATGTTCATCAGATCCTGTGTATGTGGGGTAGATGTGGCCAACTCTGGATCCTCCTTTATTTCTGTCACTTGGGTTTGTGGGGTGGGTTGGAAATGAAACCTATGGACCCTGCCTGCAGTAAGGATGTGTTGGAACACCTGTAATTCCTGGAGGAAATGAGCTGTAGAATGATAGTGGGACACCCCCAAAGGAAGATACCGCTTGGTGGACCTGCAAGAGGTATGCTCTGCCAGCAGTGAAATAAGTGAAATTACATCATTGAATCAAACCCAAGGCCTTTTGTATACCAGGTCACTACTCCCATTCCGAAAGAAGTGAGTTCCATTCGTTACCTCCCGACCTGGTCTGTGAGGCTGGAGTAGCCAAATTCCTTCATCACTGACCATCTTGATTCTGTGCACTTGAGTGGGGTAACCCTTGAAGACATAATCTTTAGGCTAATAAAGTAACCACTACGAGCTCACGTCTATCAACAGATCGGATTAGGTGTAAAGAGTGGCTGTAAAACTTTCATGTGTTATATCTTACCAGTTTTGTTTCTATATAGACATGTTAGTCACGGATTACCGCAAATCACAGCTTCAGATTAACTGTGCTTCATACTCTCTGGTGTACAGTCCTTGTGTCCTTGTGCCATCTGCAGTTATAAATCTTCCCTAATTTTCCAAGATCCAGGGTAGGATCCACGTGTAAGTAATTACCTCTTGTTCTTTTTTAACTTTGCATTATTAAATATAATGTTTGGAATAACTTGGCAAAATATCTACCTGCAGATAGGATTTCATGCATTTTGTAAGAAAAAATATAAATATTTCAATTGCTTTTGATGTTATATTTTCGACCTCGTGCGGTCGAGAGGAGTAGGAGTTTGTAGGTGAGTCGTTGAAGACAGATAATGTTGCACATGAAGTTCAAAAGAAAGTGTTATATACGATAAATGGGTTTTATGCACATTTTAACTGTGTATATGTTATATTTGATATTTTTTCTTAGAAAATGGCGGACGCTGCTCCAGCCGGTGGACGAGGTGCATTCCGCGGTGGGTTTGGGTCTCGAGGAGGTCGTGGTGGTCAGCGAGGTCGTGGACGTGGCCGTGGACGCGGAAGAGGTCGAGGGAAGGAAGCAGAAAAAGAATGGATCCCCATAACCAAGTTGGGTCGGCTTGTGAGGGATGGCAAGATTCGCACATTGGAAGAGATTTATCTCTTTTCATTGCCCATTAAGGTAGAATTTGTGTAAACACGCATCAGTGCGTTAAATGTAACCAGTTGTAATCATCTGGTTTATTTTGACGCATGTATGATACATTATATTTTTTGTCACCAAGGATAATTTAGAATGCATTGGGAACTATGTATTCTGGTATGACTTACATCTTTCCAGCATTTGTAAGGGTGATACGAAGTCCTACTTTGGATTGTATTGTAGAGTTTTTTTTTTCTTTCTGGCTACATAGGAATTTGAAATCATCGACTTCTTCATTGGATCTTCTCTTAAGGATGAGGTCTTGAAGATCATGCCTGTCCAGAAACAGACTCGTGCTGGACAGAGGACCAGATTCAAAGCATTTGTTGGTAAGATTTTTTTATAAGTCCCAACCCTCAATGTAAGCATACGGCTGGCATAATTCAAGTCATTTGTAATCTTTTTTTCCTCTGTGCCGTCCATTAACTGCAGTGATTTGTACCAGACATCTGTTGAGCAGATACCAGTGTGTGTGCATAATTTGAAGAAACACATTAATTAATGTTAATGACTTTTCTGAGTCCTGTGAAAGCAAAACAGAGGTGAAAGCTTTTTCTTCATTTGGTTTTCCAAATTCCCTCATAGACCAAATGACGTCATAGGTGATTGGCATTGATGATTGTCTTTCATATTATTACTGTATTATTTGTAGTGCATTGGCAAGGCTGGAAGTGCAAGGGAAGAAGCAGGTATTTTTTTCGTGACTTCCTGTTCATTGTCATTCTAATTTGAAGGTTTTATTTTGGAATTGGATTCTAGACAAACTATTTTATTTGCAAAAACACATATATTAGAATTGCTTTTCTTTCACAAAGTATACTAATGACTTAAAAATTTACTACAGTCCACGACTGTAATCTTGAGACTTGCGGGGTGAAGGAGGAAAAATAGTGTCTGCCTTTAAGGCTACGGACTTCCTGCATTCCTTGCAAGTCTCAAGATTACAGTCGTGGACTGTATGTTATCCCTTAAAGGGGTGTTTCCAAAGGCATGGAATCTTTAGTAAGATGTCCATAGTTTTTGATCTTCAGCCATGGATATCATTCATCTCAGCATTATATGCTAGTTCCACATGAGCCTCTAGAAGCTGATCAGATAATTCAGGATAGATGGGTGATTGATCGCTGCTTAGAAGCATCTGCATCATTGTTTTGTGAGCTTTCCATGCTCCCTTTGGTTTTCATCACGCTGTGGTTTGATCGAAGAACATCTTATAGGTCTGCCCGTGTGCCTGCCCTTCTTTGCCATTGACAGTGAGCCCAGAGTTCACTGTTCTTTTTAATGTTGTTTGTATTCTTATACTTATTTTTTTATTGCAAATTTTGTTGTTATTCCTATTATTCCCATTTTGTTGTACAGAGTGTAAATTTATTGAATAGTCACAACTTATAATATTTTACACTGAGTTCAAATATTAAATTCTTAGTTCATTGCTATTGTATCTTGGCAGCTATCTCTTTGTAATAGAAAAATTGTGCTTAATTATTTATCAGTAATGCAACATAGTCATAGCAAATATCCTGCTGCTATATTCTACAAATGTCAGTATTCTGGAGGTAAGGCACAGGTCCTTGTATCGTGTTAGTGGGGAGCAGTTGAAGTTACGTGTTGTCTTTCACCCTCGCTTTAGCTGCACTAGCTAAGATCATTCAATATTGTTGTGCTTAGAAACATGGTTTAAGTGGTGTTTGGTGTTGACTTTTTTCAGCTATTGGTGACTCAAATGGACATATTGGCCTGGGTGTGAAGTGTTCCAAAGAAGTAGCGACAGCAATTCGAGGAGCTATTATTCTGGCTAAGCTGTCTGTGGTGCCTGTAAGGCGAGGATACTGGGGTAACAAGATTGGGAAACCTCACACAGTGCCCTGCAAGGTAACATGCAGCTGTGCGGCAAAGTTACTCGGTCAGTGGTCATATTACGCCAGAACAGTTTGGCGTTTTGGCAGGAACAGCCATTGTTTTACATTTATCTGCGACCCTTTCAGTTGCTGATTTAAATGCTTTGTTTCGTGGGGCTCTGAGCAATGTCAGGCTTTGCTGATTGTACGTGGTCACGTGGCTAGGAAATTCAACTTTTTTTTTCCTCCTGCCAGTTACGGTAAATGAGAAAGAATGTTCTCTCTCAAATTCAATAGATGATTGTTCAATTACTGTTGGTTCATTTCCATGTATGTTCACACTTTTTACAGGTAACAGGTAAATGTGGGTCGGTTCAGGTCCGTCTGATTCCAGCCCCACGTGGTACGGGCATTGTGTCAGCACCTGTTCCCAAGAAGTTGCTGCAGATGGCTGGTATTGAAGATTGCTACACTTCAGCTAGAGGCTCCACTGGAACGCTCGGCAATTTTGGTGAGTTGTTGTTACTGTCTCATTCACTCACCAATAGGTTCCTTATTTTTCACGTGTCATACGTGACCGAGTGTTCTGGCATTAGATTCATTTGTCTTGCCATTCAAGAGAGATCATTTATATCAACGTACATGTTGTGTGCCTCAGTCTGTCACTGTTGAAGCTGTATTTTATTGTTAGTAATCTTAACCCACACCATTCAGTTAGACTTCACATATTGTTTTATTGTAGCCAAGGCAACATACGCGGCCATTGCCAAGACGTACGCATATCTGACTCCTGACCTGTGGAAGGAGATGCCTCTAACAAAGGCTCCCTATCAAGAGTTTGCAGACTTCTTGGCCAAAAACCATCGTCCTGTGGGGGGCCAGCGAGAGTCATAGTGCGTGCTTGTAAGGTGTATCTGGTCCTCTGTGTAGTCTAATAAAGGGACCAATGTGAAAAAATAAATATTGGTTTTTTTGACAGCATGTGATACCTGTGTCCATGCCTGCATATCTTCATTCCTACCCTTTGTTATTCCCTTCACCTTAATTATGGAGATTGATGCAAAAGGAGAGAATGTGTAAATGGCCTACCTAATATTGTAGTGTCATTACAGGGCTCCAGAAATACTGTGCAGTCTTTGTTCTCAGGTGGTCATTTTCTCAAAAAATACTTGAATTGATGAATGATTCATGACAGTTTTGCCCTTATTTGATCGAAAGTGAAGTCTATGTCATTTTTGGATTCATTGAATATTTAATCGTATATTGAAAACTGATTCTGGTTTCAAGTTATAATATAAACTTGAAATCTGTATGGAAGACAGGGCAAGCCTTCTTTAAAGACATGATTGGTTGGTTGAGGCAAATTTTCCTGCAGCAGTTAAAAAGTCAAGCCAAAACACAATTTTCAAGGTGGCCAACATGCTTCAGGCCTGTGGTCACACTGCTTTGAGAACCCCACCCTACATGTGTGATTGAACGTAAGAAAATATCATCCATAAACCCGATTTCTTCACCAAGACTTGAACCCAAGGTGTGACCATAGTTCCAGTAATCTCCTTGCTGAAACAATTTTGTTCTTTGTATCATGCTTAGTTGATGGATTACTGAAATCATCAGAACTCAAAACTCGAGAGAGCCTGTTTCTGTAGTCTTAAAAAAAACTGCTCTTAACGCTGTTGTTCAATCGTGTTTCTGAGCAAAGAAACATCTTCACCAGAACTTGAACACAGAACAGCTTTCTGGGATTCTAGTCTGTTTCTGTAATCTCTTTGAAACAACTTTTGTCTGGCATTCTCCTATCAAGCTCAGTTTCCACCCTCACCGGAACAAACTCACAACTTTTTGGGGCCGTTTTGGCCTTTGTATGTTCTCTTCTTGCTCTCAAGTAATATAAGCATACCAGGTTTGGTGCAAATCATGTACAATTTCAACTTTATTATTTACAAAATTTTAATGGCCTAGCAACTGATAAAAACTATTTTTAGTAAATTAAAAGTCACAAGAAATTAATTTATAGATGGCAGAGTGCATTAGCTCATTGAAATATGGCCTCTATAAGCTGGTAATTTTTAGGCTCACTAGTAGCACCGAATCTTACTCCACCTCTATCGAAGTTAAGTCTACTGTTCAACATTTCATTTCAGTTTGTATTCTGTAATACCAAAAGAGCATATTTATCTTACTGAGAGTTTACAAAAGACATTTATCCTAGGAATTCATACTTTCAAAGTGTTAGTGAATTATCTGGTAGGAATTAGCATATGGTTCATTGGGAATCAAGAGATTTTTTTGTCGGTTGCAGTGTATTTCAAAATTACATTTCTACAAAACTTCCTGTCCATGTGTCTTCTTGGATAAACTGGAAAATTTCAGTTTGCTGCTTTAAACTGTGCCATTTCATCCTGCAACATTCAAATGTGTTGTAAATTAAATAGGAAAGAAAAAAGCACTCAGAGCAGATAATTTCTACATCCACTTCTCAAACAGCCAATAAGATGGCCATTCTTTTAATGTTTGTAAGAAGCTAAGTCAGACAATTATTCAGGTAAATATTTCATAATCATGAAGAAACTTAAACTAGCTTTACCTGGAACACTGTCATTGTGTGATCACATAATTTCTCCAAATCTTCAATGCCTTGTTTTAAAACGTCTACAGCACGTGGTCCCGTCGTTTGGATTCGAAAGTGCATACTGGCTTCAGAAGGATGAGGTATTGTATAACCACACAACATAACTTCTGGGCTAGAGCACAAAGGTTATCAGAGCTTCAAGTATACATTGAAGACGAGATGATGTATTTTGATAAAAAAAATTGTAGCTGATATGGACTGTGAAAGAATTTTTGTGTCCCACTGCCACTTGTCAACCATGGGGTTAAATTCCTGACAATCATAAAGTTGGCAAGACCAAGGCCTTATGAAAAACTGCTTTTGTGAATACTCATCAAACCTTAAGTTGCTGATTCCTTCACTAAACAAAACATAATGTCTGAAAATAAAATGCAGTGTAAACTGTAAAAGTCTCACAATAGTAATCTGGAAGCTACAAACTTGGTTTACGGGATGCTGATTACAGCCCTGCTCCAGTAGATAAGGAATTTCTTTCATTATGTACACAAATTAGAAACTACAGATACCTAAACTGCAAATACTGTGGTTGGCAAAACTGTATGTATTTTAAATCTATGGTTTGCAAAGTATTTCTGTGATGTTACCTAAAAAAGTGTGGTGATAATGGCTAGATTCATCAGTCTTAGGATAAGGTTTGGTGGGAGGCTGATTTGAATATATTAATGAACCTTAAGATAGCCAGGGTACCTGAGTCAATACAGTGCCCGACTACAGCCTGGACAATGGCATTGACAAAGGATTTTTCTTCTAGCCTCTGTGTTCAGACTGCCTCAGGCCCAATGGGTACCAGAGGTAAAACATGGCTAGGGCATGGCACTGACCACTCAACCCATCTAGTGTTGAGGGCAAGAACAAGTAGGAGCTATACTTTTTCTCCCCCCAAGCATCTCCAAGACATGTAGTGGGAAAGCTTGAATTTACTCTTTAAACATTTTCATAAAATTAATTAGGCATGAGTAAATTAACTTACTAGCGAGAGATGATACACCTCAAGGCATTTCCAAATGTATGACCACCTTCCTCAAAGACAAATGTTCGGGACTTCGTGTCAGAATCCTCACCAGCTAACTGAAACAGTTGTGTTTACAAGGAAGCATGTGAATTAATGCTGTCAAATAATGCCAATGCAAGAGTTTTACATCTAAACCTGACACAATGTGGCCCTATCACCTGTCACAAAGATCCATGTATCAACTGTGCCATTGAAAATATTGGTTCACCTCTTCACAAACAAAACCCAGTGCTTTAGCCACAATATAAACAAATTCTATGGTCTTTTCCATATACCAAATTGTGACTACCTTCAAAAAGTGGAACATAATCATAACTTGGGCCATTTCTGACAGCCAGTTGCCTTAATTGTTACTTGCAGTACTGAGATGCATCGCTTAATCCACTAATAAACTAGCATCCAACCCTACCTGAAGCACCAACCAAAGTTTTCAGGTAAGTTTAGCTTCAACATGGTACTAAACATTATGCCAATTTTGCGTTAATTTAAAAAAAGTTGAACACGTTGTTCACATTAATTTTTTAAGCATGGGATGAATCATGGTTTTCAAACACTGTCAAAAGTACAATTTTATTCACTTAAAATAATGTCACTACATTAATTTTAGCATACTACACAAGTACTTATGTGTTCACCTAATGTAGCAGTTCTGGTTTTTACAACATTATTTTGTACAAATCAGCAATTTTTAATGAGTAAGGGGACAAAGTGAACCCTTCTCTAAAGATTCATCCCTTTTCTTGCTACATAATCTTGATATGAACAAATGACTTGTGTGTCAGTGTTTATTATATGCTACATATTTGTACCAAATTTACATTTGGATCTGTTAGATTACCAAGCTAACTTTAAGGTGTGTTTAAGCACTTATATGTTTTGTCCCTTTGCCATTCGCTTCTCCCATGATCACTATAAAGCCTTGAAGACCAAGAGATGCCCATTTTCTTACTCCAGTTCCTGGTCATACTTCACATACGTATTGATGCAAGTGTGCGTTTATTTTCTCATACTTAACCTTACTTTACCTCAAGTACGCTATGCTTTTCTATTTTAACAAAATCACTTTCTACAGGGAAGAAATATACCAAACACAAACACTTCGAACACACGTTGTTGCTGAAATCAGATTTTCTTGGTTTCTAAGACTGCCAAAATAAACAGACTCCGATCCATGCACATCTTCCCACTTGCACGTGTCATGTATCACATTTGGTTAGGTAACGATTAGGTTTATTATGATCCAATACTTCAAGGGAGCGAAAATTGTGTTGATCGTCTCTTCCACCTTCCTTACTTCTTCGCACATAACATTTCTTATAAACAGACATTAACCTAATTCTTCAGTTTTCTTCCTTGGTCATTCTAACCATCCTCACGTCAATTAACTACAAAATGTAGGGTTTGATTGTCAGTCTTCTATAACTATAACCGTTTCCAAGAGCGCTGCTTACTCATCACCCTGATGATGGAGGCAGCAAGGCACTTTGAAACGTTGATAAACTTCTACCAGACTACACGGCACAACAACCCTGAGGACAGCCATTTCGACTACATACTAGTTATAACACCCCTTTCCTCTAACTAAAAACGAGTTACTTAACGTACCTCTGCAATTAAATTCATTTCTTCAGTAATTTTGTTATTGTCTGTAAATTTAATTATTTTACGCTACAACAAATCTCAACTCTGACCACGACGTGTCATTCTTCTGTGCATTTTATACATAAGCAACTATATTCAAGACAAATAGTATGCTATGGTTTGAAAGAGTAGCACAATACATATTATGTTGCCAGGTGTACCATTACACGACCACCGCAGTACCGAAAAATGACTATATAAGACAGTGAGGCTGTCACTTCGCCCCAAGGACTACCCTGGTATGGGATTTTCATGATGTAATATATAAATCATCTTAAAAGCTTGAAATGAGTTAACAAACTTTGTTATAAGGAAGTAGCTAGACACCATGAAAATAAAACCACACTTGTACAGATCGTTGGAAATGGTGAGACATTTTCCTGGAAACGGCCTTGACGTATGCAGTTATGGCCCAGGAATTATGAACAGGCTCTTTATATGAAGAAAAACCCTACTTTCGTCACGGCTTTTAAAATTCGAACTATTGAAAGAAATTTATTTTCAATAGTATTTATTTTTTTATCTGCAATATGACCTTCGAATTGGCAGGTAGCCTGATTGTTTTGGTAGTAGAAGAGCATAATTGCCGAAGCTCAGGTTATATGTGATTAGCAGGCTATTTTTATAGTGGAAGGAGAACATGAACTATTGAAAAGAATTAATGATTCATTGTATTTCTTTGTTCTTTAAGTTCATCCTTAGATTCAAATTATTAAAGTCAGTAGCATACAACACTGCAGTATTCAGTCACGTTGAATACGACGGATTACCAACATTAGTTCATGTTGACTGTATAATCTGTAGTGTACGAGTGTAGACGACTGCCTTCTGGGTTGTTGCGCCGTGTAGTCTGATAGAAGTTTACCATCGTTTCAGAGGTCCTTGTTGCATTGATAAACTTGTACCAATCTGCATGGCACAACAACCCAAAAGACAGCCATCTTCCTAATCACCACCGTGAAAACCCCAAATATATTGCATATAATTTACCCAATTCTATTCAATTCTGAGATGTCGACGACACAGATGACCTGGTCATGGATATTAAATAGATATTCTTGTATGCTTTCCATTGAAACAAGAGGAAAAAACACAATAATAAAAAGCAAAATATATTCGCAGTAAACTAATATCTGACATATGCGTAACAATAACATTCCGATAAAAAAAGGTTGAGACATTTAATTTACGCTTTCACTCAAGTTACACTTAAAAATCCGTTACACTTGTTTCACAAAGATTAAATTCTATTTTACCAACATTTACTATGGTTGGGAGTTGGGGGGGGGGGGGGGGGGTAGGTTGTCTTTTTTTCTTCTGAATAGGTTGATTAGTGTTTGTTGCTAGTGTTCCTAGTATTACATTTTGTTTTTAATATATTTTGGCGTGGATATTGGAAAGGTAAGGTAGTTGTTTTAATTTACACGTGCGTAGACGGTGTTCTGTAACGTTAGGCTTGGATGTTTTTGCTCTATGTCATGTTTATTACAAGGAGACATGAATATTCAGGAGGTTGTTGACGTTTGTCGTAATTTGAAATAGCATTACGATGTGCAGGATCTTCAGTTTAAATGATGTGTTCGTCGTTAACGTATGTTTTCATAATGCTTCACGTTACAGAAACGTTCAGTTTCTACGTTTATATACAATGTTTCTACAGTTTACTGTTTTGAGTTTGTATTACTGTTATTGTTTTATGATTATGGTCCATTAAAAAAAGCTCATGAACAAAGGTTTTTAGACTTCTGTCAATACCATCTTAACTTTATTTTGTTAACTTTCAAAATTTATTTTGAATATCACTACAGTTGTATGTAAAAGAGTAATTGGTAATGGAGTGACATCATTTGGACAAGCTATTTGCCCTCATACATATTGAATGAATGATTTAGCTTGACTTCTTATTGTGATACTGGGAACTACCCGTTCTTGAAGTGCCTGAGCACTGCGGGTCCCAACTTTTCGTTGGCTTGATCTATAGACATTCTGTAGGACTCCTTGGATGAGGGATCAGCCCATCGCAAGGCCTCTACCTGTACACAGGACAGCACAACACAGAAAAACGTAGACAAACATCCATGGCTTGAGTGAGATTCAAACTCACGGTCCCAGCGACCAAGAGGCAGAAGGCCCATGTCTCAGACCACGCAGCCACTGCGGACCCCGCTTGTCTTCTTACAAGAGCAAAACGTTTTTTTTCATAGAGACAAATGAGAATCAGTATTATAAAATTGGTAGTGATCTTCCCCTCCTATTTTTCTTACTAATATTTCTAACACATGTTTAATCGGTTTGAAATCATTAACTGTTTTTAATCTAAGAGGTTAAGTAAGCAATAAAATGCATACATTTAGGGCACTATATACAAAAATGTTATAGTCTGTTGCTACCATGTGTAATTACCCAACTTTTAGAAATTTTCTTGTAAGAATTTAAAATAAGTTTGTAATGTATCAGTGTAAATGGCAATTCATGTTCATATTTTTGGTACAATCAGTTTAGTGGCGTGGAGATATTCCTGTGTGCATGTGTGCAAGCACACATACATTTATAAAAATTGAGATTTCCATAAGAACTTATTCCTGTACAAAAAAATTGATCTTTCCAGTTACAGCACATGGATAACTAAAGTATTCCATTTCTGAGTCTGATGGTCAGTTTTATGTGAGAAAAATTCCAGCAGTATAAAAATTATATAAAAAATAAAAATCTTGATAAGGCAACTTCTTTTTAAATAGCTGTAAAATTGTTATAAAGCCATCTACATGATTTTCACTCTAAAACCAAATATACCACTTAACTCAATGTAGTTTAACAGGTTTTATGCATGTTATTTCATTTCTGATACCAGATAAGTGGATGCACTGTGTCATTTCATTACAAAGATACATGTATTTCTTTTGAGCAAATAGTAATTTTCAGTGCTAGAAATTGTATACACATTTCATAACTTCAGTTTGTATGGTAATGGAATGTCATAAACTTGGTAATGGAATGACAACAGTTCATTGGCTAATGTGGTTGCTGTTATATACTTTCATCAATGCAGTAGTAATAAAATGTGTATGTTAGGTTAGGTTAGGTTAGGTTAGGAGACAAGAAAAGAAATGAAGACTCGTTATCCATTGCTTGGTGTCATCTGAATCATTAAGCATTCAAAAGTGAGACCTCTGTATGAAAAAGGGGTAAAACTTGAATTTCCAATCACAGATCAATTTAATTACTAATAGCATTCTCCAAAATATTTCAGTAAGTCATGTTTAAAAGAGTAAGTCATTTCTTAAACTTGAACAACATCTTTGCAGATGAACAGCTTGGATTTAGAAAAAATCTCACAATAGATAAATCCCTGTTGAATTTTTCACATGAAATTTAACAAATTGCATGTTGACAGAATATCGTGTGATTTTATTAAAACATTTGAGTGTATTAATCATGAATTATTACTGACAAAACTTAGTTTTCATAGATATCAAGGTATAGCTGGACGATGGTTTAACTCATGCCTTCATGACAGAATAGTAGTAATAAAATAATGGGATTTGAGGTTTTCATGGCAGTGAGTCTGAAGATGGTTATTGCGCCATGTAGTCTGGTAGCTGTTTACCAGACTACATAGTGCAACAACCCAGAAGACAGCCATTTTCAGAAATGAAATCATCAGTTTCATATTATAACACCTACTCAAATTCTTCAACTGCCATTACTAATTATGTTAAAAATAATAACATCAAATAGGAATTGTTGTTGCATTTGCAAGGATTATTTTTCACATGCTGTTTTATGCCAGCAGTTACGAATCTTTTGTCTTCAAAGACACAAAGACTAAAATATACAAACCTTTAATTTTACTAAGTGTTTGGTTTGGATGTGAAACTTGACCCCTCACTTTAAGTGAAGATCATAGACTTTGTTTGAAAACAGGGTCTTGAGGAGAATATTTGGATCTGAGAGGGATGAATCTTTGGTTTTGCATAAGAGGAGAGGAAACATTTTGAACGTGCGAGTGCCTATCAGTTTGTTGAGAAGGAATCTGCTGCATGGAGTTTATTTTATAGTGATGGGAATGTTAACAAAAGCTCTGTAGATGGACGCTCGTGCCATCAGTATTTTTTGAAAATGTGAGTTTAATTGAAACCACTGTTGCAAACAAATATGTTGGAAGTGCTTGAACTTGTTTGTCAGAGTAACCTTTTGACATGAATTTCCAGCTGCAGTGTTACAAATTGGGGGGCTTTGGTTAATTCGGCGATGAACCTTCGGGTTCGGTAAGCCATCTAGATAGTTAGTGTTATAAATGTTTTGTCAATTCAGAATGTTTGGTAGGCTTGAAAGAACCAGTTGTCAGTATGCACTGCTTTTCCATATGTGGCCCATCATTCCTTGTAGTGAAGCAGTGTCCTTGGGAAGCTAATAGTTGCTCAGCTGGTGATAAAATTATTTACATATTATGGAAGCCAGATGTCCATTACCATGTTCACAACAGCCCATCACTAGACCAAAATTAATCCAGTTCCCATCCTAAAATCATGTTTCCTTTAGTTTAATTTTGTAACATTCTCCCTTCTATGCCATGTCCTCTCCCCTTCAGGTTTTCCCGCTGAAACTTTTTGTCATTTTTTGGGAAGGGTTTTTTTTTGAAAAGGAAGTCTGAATGTTTTACTACGTATGTATAGTTCCACCAATTACCTGTGCTGCTTGGATACATTTTTCCCCTTTCATCACTGGTCCTTTCATTTTGAATGACATTCTGTTGCACAAAGAAAACACTTTTTACATTTATTTCCAGATGTGTTTGGGAGATTTGATCCATTTAATATGATCTAGGTTTGGATGTGCCAGAAATATGGGGAGTTTCTGAATATAATAATGTTGTTATAATCTGATTTTACAGTGTGATAGACTTTCACACTTTTTCTCTCCACAGAAATGATTTATGAAAAATTAATTAATTTAATCATTTGTTTGGTTTGTAGATAGTCATGGCCTTCAGCTGGATAACACCTTATAAAACTTCAGAAAAAAAAAGTGTGGAAAGCTCTGATTTTATAAGTAATATGAAGACTTGAGATATGTCATGTAGTGATTTGTGAAATTTCCTGTGGCAGACTATGCTGCTTCTTCACGTGCAAGTTACTGTTCAGGAATTGATTGTGTGCCTGCTAGTTACAGCACAGGGACTCAGTATTCTACTCAGGGTTAACAATCTTGTAACAAAAGAGGGGGTGGTTGGGAAGAGGGTTGGTCAATATATAAAATCAATACCTTGTTTGGAATTCTTGAAAGCTGGTGGTACCAGGAGACACCAGCAGGGGATGACAGGTGGTAAGACCCTGACTGAAGGACTTCGTGTGGGTCAAATGGTAATGAACTCAAGAAATGATTTACACAAATTCTCTTCATTCATACGTGGGTAGGACACTTCAGACTCGTAGCATAAGTAACAGTAGAGTTTATTTCCATGAGGGTAACAAAATTCGTAACTTAAACTGTGAATGAGGTTAACTAATTCTGATGAAAGAGCTTGAAGGGTCATTATAGCTAATGCGTAAATATATCTCCACTGTGATCACCGTGACTACAAGGAATCCTTTAAATAAGAAACACAAAATGTTCAAGAGAGAGGTTAAGGATAGGGTAGAATGGAGATAAAGATAACATGCTTCTGCCATCAGGGCTGAAGCGAAGTGAAGTGATGATGCTGCTGCTTCCCAGCTTTCCTCACATCAGCCCTGATGATGGAGGCAGTATGGTACTGTGAAACATCAGCAATGAGCAGGATCAGCATGAAAACCAAATCACTGAAAGCTTCAAATCAGTCTTATTGGTTTCTGATATGAGTTTATTAGTTGGTGGTTGGTTTTGTGTTCCCAATAGGTAAATCTCTTGTGATGATGGCGTGAGTTGCAGCCGTTGATACCGCACGCTCTATGACTGCTCTGGTGTCACTTCTTTACTTACCAAAACCATTCCAATGTCCAGAATATCGGGAATAATTGCGGGTAAGTTTAAACATTTTAGGAAAGAGGAAGAAGAGAGGGGAGTCAGACACTGAGGAGATTTAAGGATCTATTTGACTAACTGAGAGATATGAACAGGTCAGAAGGCCTAATCCCTGTGGCTCATGAGATGATGATGATGAGAAAATCAATAATAGAATGTACAAGGCAGCCATTTTGCATATATAAAAGAAGTTATTGATACTCAAAGGTTCTTTAGACTGTTTATAAGAGCCCTCCTGTGGTCCCTATTTTGAACCAGAAGAGCCCAGGCCAGTACTTTAAAATGTATTTTGTTAAGACATATTTTAGTATTATCATTCATATGTGTCACCAGTTTTGATTTTTTTATGAATTTTGAGTAATCATTTGTTGTGATTTGTTTGTTGAATATAAGACAGTGTCTTTACAAGCGTATTCTTTTTCATTGTTTACACTATTTTCAGTAAATTGTATTGAAAAACCTTGTCTGTATAAAACATGATAAATTGAGCCAGTCGCTTGTAGTTCTCTTCTTGCTTCTGCTTCAGTTCTTTACAATTATTCCCTGTGCTTCTGTGGTGATGTTTGATCTATAAGTTGTCTGGTAGTGTTGCTTGGTGTAGGGAGAGGGGTGGAGGGCTGAATTGATCCTCCAGTCAGTCAGTCAGTCAGACAGACATGCAGTTGTGGCAGGGATGGAAACAGGCGGAGTGGTGAAGGAACTACAAGCAGCTCTGTTCCCCGTGTGTGCTAAAGGTCAGATGTGAGCTCAGTTACAGTATTGAGTTGGTAATGCAGCTTTCTGAAGTAGATTCGTGTAACTTCAAACGAACCACTGACACACACAATTTTTTAAAGGAAGGTAAATTTTGTTATTTTTGCATAATAAATTGTTGACTAAAATTACTCCTTAATACATTTTACGTTACAGTGAGGGTCAGTGACATGTAACCAGAGAGAAGTTGGTTTTGATTGGTGAAATAAAATAGTCTGTTTTCACAAGTTGGGCAACTTATTGCTTGAACCAGCCTCATATTACCTCATTTTTTCTTTATTTTTGTGGTTTTAGAGAAAACACTGGCCTGTTCAGAGCATGGTGATTGCTGTCAGAGAAGGAAGTCGCTTACATTCTAGGCTGTTGACATTGTTTAAGATGCAATTGAGGCATGACTATAGAATAAACTGAGAAATACATATTTCAGTTGAGATTGTTTTTTGAAAACTGTACATTGCAAACTGCCATTGTCTTTGATTGAATGCTGGAAAAATTAAAGAATTATTATTCACATTTCATGGTAACTAATTTGTAAATAAGTTGCATTACAGAGTTTTTAAGTTAGTTTATTTGTTTATGTGTTTGTTGTGTGAAGTACAGAAATTGAATGGTTCATACTGGTCCAGTATGACCACTGAATTTCTTCACAACACTTTTCTTTTATTTCAGTTTTGAGAAGTAGAATGGTGAATTTTGTATTATTATACCTTATGTACATTAAGATGTAGAAGTTCCACAATAAATCAGTCAAACCAATCTTGTAAGCTGTAATAACTGTAAAATGTTAGGCACCATTAGCTGAGATTGTGAAATTTATGATTTGGCCTGTTTTCCTGTAATTACACAATCATTATATTTGCACCTTCAGCAAACTACTGAAGTTCATAGGGGGCTGTGGGCACATTCAGTAATATCTTGCTGTTTTTAATAATATGTCTACAGGTAGTTACTTGAGCAGTTTCCTGCAGAACACCCTCAAGACAAACCAAGTGGAGATTAATACAGACAGTAGGACGCTGAGACCTGTAGCAAAATTAAAGGAACCAAGAGATCTTTTTGCTTCTCCCAAGGAATCAGGTTGTCCCCAGGGAGCAGCTCGGTGGCCTGCAGAATGTCAGGTGTGTGGCCTCAAGTGATGTCACAGAAGGTGCACGTAGTTGAGCCTTGTTACTGTTGGCAACAGTGTTACACATATTTGCTAATTTGTCCATTTTTCTGTTAGCTGAGTATATACATAATGCAGTGGCCTTTCAGTGAAGAAAGAAGTGTTGTGCCATTGATCTTCTTGTTGACTAACTGTATTTTTAACTGCCAAATGAAAAAGTGTACAAGTCGCAAACATTGCAACGCTACGGTCACAAGCGCAGCGCTTCACTCTTATGTCTGGAAGCGCTATAGTAATTACGCAACTTGTGAGTTGAAGGACTGCTGGAGTGTTTGTATAATGCTGATCTTACTGACTGCATGGTCATGGGCTGCCTGTATGCTGGGGTAATTAGTTTCAGTTTATCCTTGCATTTTTAGTTATGCACATGAAATTTTGTGTTGTTGGAAGGATCGAATATGCCCATAACACTTTGCATGAAACATGTTCTTGAATGTATGGCAACAACACACATTTTCGCACAAATGTTTGCCAGAGAAATGAAGTAGGCCTTAATGCTTTGTTTTTCATCTAGCTGATTGTTACACTGTGAAGTTGGACCTACATTCACAGCCCGTTTCAGAATATGTTTTGCGTATTAACAGGAAGAACGTGTGTAATTCTATTAGCTTTCCAGCAAGATTACTCATCAGTAGAGCTCAGTCTGTATAGTTGCTAGGCTATGGGCTGAATGACCAGGGTTCAGTTTTTGGCAGAGGCAGGAATTTATTTCGTAATCACCACATCCATTCAAGGCTCAGCCATTCTGCTATAGAATTGGTCCTGTGAGAGCAAAGAAGCCAAGGTATGAAGTTGACTGCTCGTTTCTATCTTGTTCTGAGATTAAGAATGCGTGGAGCTTGAAGTTCTACTCGTACAGCTTCATGGCACATTTCTTAAGTGGTACAATAACCTAGTATTGTTTGAACCCACTGTAAGATACCTTATTTGCAGGTTTTGGAAGAACGTGTACAACATATAGATCCTCCAGTTTTGGCACCAGAAAAGTATTACCAACCTACTGGTTGTGAAATGCAACCCAAGCCAGTGGGAGAAGAGGCGGGCCAAGTGGTTTTCCAGTACTACCCTATCAGTGCTGTGAGCTATGTAAGTTTTAAGATTATGTATTGGTTGAGAGTGAGAGCTGCTTCAGCACTGCAAATTTTGAATCTTCTTGATATATTTATTTATTTATTTATTTATTTTTTTGTGTGTGTGATGAGACTGCCCCAGAATTCAGCAAATGGTAGTTCACTAGATTGGGTTTTTCTGGCTCAGGACGGGAACCAGTGGTGTGCTCATGTGAACATGGTAATCAACTTTCAGATTCCATAAAATGTTGGGAATTTTGTGAGTGACTGAGCAACTAACTGTTGGCTTCTCAGGAAGGACTCGGCTCCATGGAGTACTTAATATGTTTTAAAAGTACATTATGTGTATTGCTGCTTTCAAAAATGTTCTTGATTTCATTGCGAGTTTTAGATAGTTGTCGCTGTCTGTCTCTAAACACGAAAAAACTCCACAATGGTTGATCATATTTTCATGTATTTATAACAGTTTCATTTACTAATTACTGAAGAAATTTGTAGTCCATATTGGAGAATTTATACTTTGTTTTGTGTGAAATGAAAAATTTAAAGGGATCACATAGTTTTTTGACTTATATGAAATTTGAGCAAAACTTTACATGAAATTTCAAATTGTGGCACCTTCACATATTAACATATTTTGGCAAAATTTATTACTATATTTTGACTTCATTGTAGTTTTTCCACCACTTCACATGCATTTTCGTATTAGGTATATTTTACAGCGTGGTGAATATTATTATTGAGATTTTATCAATAAATTCCATCTTAGAGTTATGTTTTTCTGTTCATTGAGGGAATATATTGTGTTGTGTGTAACGTTTGCTTATGTGAGTTCCATGCTGGGCTTTTCACATTTTTTGGTTTAATTTAAACTCTGTCCATTCTGTAGCTTCTGTTTCTCTTAGAGAAAAACATTATTTTGTACGAAATCCTTACACTTCATGTATTTGTTTCTCAAGTTTAGCCGCTCAAGTGTCGGAGGTAGCAAATACTTCCTGGATTCATGCCCCTGTGGTGATCGAGTAGAGGGTCTACGTTTTGAGTCTCGCTTTGAATCCGGGAATCTTGCCAAGGTGGTGAAGATAACAGAAAGCTACTATGAACTGTACCTTCGCACAGACATGTACACCAATAGGCACATACAGTGGTATTATTTCAGAGTTGAGAATACAAAGAGCCACATGCTGTATAGGTAAGAATTAATGTTTTGATTTGCCTTGTATTGCTCTTTTATTTTCATAAATATTTTGTGTGTTGTAAATCAGGCGCCTTATGCCTTGATTATTAACGCTTTGAGTGTACAGTTGTAAAATAACAAAATGCTTGTCAAGGACTGCAGCGAGGCATACGTTTTGGGAACATTTCATCAGTACTGGTCAAGATGATAATGAAGTAAAACTCACAATCTTTGACTTCTATCTTGTTTGTCTCATTTCTGAAATACTGTACTGCTTAAAGAATATTTCTGTCAGTTTCTGTGCATATAAAATGTGTCTGTATATTCACAGAACATGTGCACTTGTTTGTTTGTGAATTAAAAAATACTTCAGTGCCCTTCACCATAGAAATAGCTATTCACTCTCACTTCACACTGGATGTAAACAAAACCACATGCTTCACAGAGAGAACTCTTGGTTCTTGGTCAAAGTGCAGAAATTTCAGCCATGAAATAGTCCCATTTTAAGGTACATTTATATTGTAAACAATCTGCAAGACACAAAAAATAAATAATACTGATTGCTGTAACTGTACAGTCTGCAGCACATATCAACCATACATCAGTCACGGCAGATTACTGTGGAAGGACATCACTATCATCGTGATATTTTGTTCGTATCTGATTTGAAGTTAGAGTGAATGGAGAATAGATTTCTTTTTGACTGCGTGTATTTTAAATCATAATATTCCTCACTTTTACTGGAGAAGAGAAATCTCTGTCTCACTTCGTTCAGATTGTTTCATGATATCAGTTGGAGGCCCCTTTAATGCATTGTTTTAGTGAAAGTATTTTGAAGTTCTATCCTCACTGTCTCTGCCAGGCTGCTTTTCAGCCTGGAATACATTTTATCAGTTTTACACTTTCTATGCCATAATTTTTAAATTTGATCCTAAATGTTGCTGTCAGATCACTCTGTACTTTTAATATGCTGCTATAATGTCACAGTTTAGAAGTTTTATCTCCAAGTTCATTGTCTCACCCCTCTTCAGACCAACAGCAACAACAACCTGTGTTGGTACATCATCATCATTTACAAAAAAAATTAATATTTCATTTATAATTTGTGTGGTTGTACTTTTTATATTTTGTTATTGCAAGACAAAAATAGTTGTTTTAATTTTAGCAGGAGAGAAGTTAATGCCAGCAGAACTGTTGCTCATCTTGGAATTTGTTTCCAGGTTTTCTCTTGTGAACATGTGCAAAGCAGAGAGTCTGTATAGTGTTGGCATGCGACCATTGCTTTACTCAACTAAAGATGCTCAGTTAAAAGGCATTGGCTGGAGAAGATGTGGCGACAATATTACATACTATAGGAATGAACCATTGTAAGCAAGAAGATGATTCTTTTAGCCTTCATGCTTGTTTTGTCATAAAGGAATTAATTATCATTGTGATATTCTGGTTTGTGGTACCATGTTTAAGTAAGTTGGCCCCGAATTTAGAGGTGATACATCCATCTAAAACGTTGCTAAACACTTACAAAGCTATACTGCATCATAAATGGCATCTTACCACTGTAAGAACCTCACATCTCAATGAGTTACTTGATTTTCTTAGTAATGATTCATAGATTTTGTATTTTCAACTCTTCTTTAATTAAATACCTGATACAATTCTACAGCTATGATAATTAGTCCTTTCAGACTTAATATTGTGACTGATTAATTGAAGTTTTTATCAGTTAATGAAAATTATGTCACAGTCTCAAGAACCTGAAGGCAAAACTTGTCACAAAAATAATGTATGCTCGTAAAACAACACTCTCTTGTTTGTAACTAGCTGCCAGAGATTTATAATCTTGAACTTCTTCCTTGGTACTATAACATTTTTGCAGAATTTTAACATTTATCACTTCAAAAATCTGTATTGTCCTCTGGGAAACAAGACAGAGGAACTAGACTTTTCTAGGTATTGCTGCATGTTGAGTGGTAAAAATTGCTGATGTTTTGAAGGCACTTGCTGCCCCTTTTCTCATGTTCAAAGTTACTAGGGTTATTTTGTCCCAATCAGAATTTGTGACTGTCTTATATTCTTGAATTAACCCACTGATACTACTTTCCCATCACATTGGCCCTGAAGAAGGTGCCAGAAAGTTCCCCTGAAACGTGGATAATTGTTATTTAATTGACATTGCCTGATACGCATAAAACTACAGTGAATGTTGGTAGCTTTGGAAACCTAAAGTGATTGGTCCTGTGCTATTACACAACCTGCGTTGAAACAAGGACTCAGTGTTGCATTGATGGTTTTGAAATTTTGTGCCACTAAGAAGCCCTTAGTGGCCAGTAGTCTGATAGATGTTTACAAATGATCTGGGCAATGACTCATCCTTGATGATGGAGGCAATAAGGACCTCTGAAACATTTGTAAACTTATATCAGACTACATGGTGCTACTACTTGGCAGACGGCCATCTTCATACTTACTGCTTTGAAAACCTCAAATACTATTAAGAGGCCTTTTGATTTTGTAAGTGAAGGGAAAAAACCTTGTTTTACATATAATAGCTGCACAAGAATTTGTGGCTTGTCGCCAATGTGTTTTGTGGTGTATCTTCAGGGGGTGGAACTCAATTCTGAGAAGATTTAAGTTGAGTTGTAATTAAAATGCTCTGTGCTCATATTTTATATTAACAGAATGTTTTAGACGAGGTTTCGCCTTTGTTAGTGCTGTTACTTAGCATTATTGTTTGTGTTTTGTAGGCCTGGTGAAGAGGACCAACTTCCTAGCTACACTCTGACTTTCAATATTGAATTTCCGCATGACGATGATCAGGTCTACCTGGCACACTGCTATCCATACACATACACTGATCTGCAGGATTACCTTGTACAGTTACAGGTACATTTCTTGTCTTCTCAGTATGATGTTGGAACAGATACTGAGTAAAGAGAAGAATGTGTAGTGGGCAGTAATAACGCAGAGTGTTATTATAGGCTGTGATTCTGTAATAAACAAATTCTGATATAATTCTCTGTTTTGGACAAGGTGGGAATTTCCAAGCAGTAACTGGGGGTGCAAAATGGGTTCCCAAGCTTTCTCGTCCTTTCACATTTATGCCACCACTCATATCTGCTCTCTCGGTGCTTTCTTTGCATAATTTTTCTACCTGCCAGCCCCTTTTATGTACATATAAAAAAGTAAAGCTGTCACACTGTATGCCATGTAGGTGCTTGGGGGTGAGAGATGGTATAGCTCTTACTCATTCTCAACCTCGGCACTAGAAGGGGGTGAGTGGTCAGCATCACATCCCCGGCCACACTTTACCTCCAGGAAAGGCCCCCAGAACTCATTGGATGGGGTTGTGAGACAGTGTCTTCTTTCATTCAAGGTTTATACTCAGTTTGTAATTTCGAGGTCCTTTCTGGCTTTAGAAATGCTTGCCACACATGCAGGGATCTGTCCTTCGATCGTGGTGCTGTCCCATTGTCCTCATCACATACTCCAACATGTGTGTCTCCTAGGAGAACTAAGAAGTGAAGGTTAAATGCACCCTTCTCACTGCCCCCAGGTGCAAGATCCAGGTATCACAAGCCCAGTCTTGATTCATGTAGACTCCAATAGAGTGGAGTATTACCCAGTGCCACGTCTGTGTGTGTGTGTGTTACTCGGGGAGGGTAGTGTGATGCTAGCCAAGTTACTATTGCTACTACTGTCAGTTGTGGGGTCCTCTCAGAGAATTGTGAAGTGTTAAAGAAATTTCCTGCTAGGAAACCTAAATATTCAAAGTCTAAATGTTTGTTACTCAAACTTCTATTGTGTGGAAATTTCTGTTCTTTTCTTTTCCTTCTTGCTGGGGTAATAAGTATGACTGATCTTAAAAGGAAGTTCTTATTTCATTAGTTGTAAGTGTTTTTGCTTGTAGAACCATCCAGTGAAGTCAACATACAGTAAACTTCGCCCTCTGTGTCGCTCGCTGGCAGGGAACAATGTGTACTACCTTACAGTGACAGCACCGTCACTTCAAGATGAATCTAAGGTAACAGAAAGAAGCAAGTGCTTGAATGTTTCCCTCATCCAGTGTCACCAAGTGGGTACCAGATTAATTTCCTCATGTTGGTATGATACCTGGTTCAAATATCAGCCAGAAAGTCAGATCACCCATGGATTTTCCATTAAAATTTCAGAATGCTACCTCAAATAGTTCATGTCTGATTCCTTTCACGTCTCTCTCACGTTACCCTCCATCGCAAACCTGCCTTTGCATGGTGTATAGCATGCGCAGTTTGTGGGGTGTTATAAAGTAAAGAAACATCCAGTTTTTTTTAAAGTAATTTTTCTTTACATTTCACACATTTTTTATGTAATGATCACACGACTGTTTATCATTACAGTTCTGTTTTTATAGCCAATGCAGTACACACGCCTTAATGACGTACACTTCTGCCTGGAATAAGGTGATGTGTTGTCCAGGGCAGAAGCTGAGCCTCTGCCTTGTGCCATATTCACACACCCTTTCTCTAGTGCCAATTTCTCTTTGACCCCTCAGTGTGCCAGATTATTCTGCCATTTTTGTCGTGCTTGAACTTGTTTTCCCATTCACTTCTGTCAGGAAATCTCGTTATGAATGTTGCGATACATTTATTTATTTGTGGTTTATTTAATAATGCTGTCAGTAACTCAGACTGTATAAAGTGTCAAATAGTATGATGATTAATGAGTTTTAAAGGTAGACATCGTCTTGTATGTGCTCTGTGATGTGTGTTCGTAGAGCAAGAGAAGTGACTACAACAGTAGATGCATTTATTAGGAGCATTAGTCAGTGGCATTTTTTCATCATACTGCATGTGATTCAGCATCACCTTGTAAAAAATATGTATTTCAGCATTTTCTCATGGTTACAGATACATACTTAATGTAGCACTGTCTCTCAAAATTGTGCCCTGTATACTAAACTTACGGCAGGTTTTCCAAGTGTGTAGGTGCCCCTGCCAGTGACTGTGAAAAATTGACAGCCACTTTCTAAAGAAATACTTTATTCTTATCTTATTTTTAGCATTTCATATCTTAGCCAGAAGATCCCTTAATGTTTGTATAGATATTACCATGGCATTTAAGATTAATTTTATGTAACTGCTTACACATGAATGTTGTCGACAAACACTTTTACTCTGCCAGTTGAAGTGATGTAAACAACTGTGTAAATGACACTGATGTCCGATGGGCTGTAACACTTTTGTCATAAATAAATAAATAATTATTAGTGAGAAAGGTTGTTGGTTATACACAAACATATGTACACGTACATGAATTGAGCACCCATAATTTTATTTCTGATTTAATTTGAAATTATTGGATATCAATGACTCCATTTAAAAATATAAGGTTAGGTCTGACCACTGTTAAGTATATTATGTATCTGTAACTTTTTCCCATCTCCTCATTTCTGAAGATGGAAGCTGAAAGTTCTTCCACAGTAGGTAATCATTTTCCACATGACAGCAATATATTCCATAAGGCGGTACTTGTGTGGATCTCTTATTTGTGGCTTCTGTCTCTAGGTTCAAAATTGTATATTGCGGCTGTTGTGATTTTCACTTTGTTTTTGCACAGAAGAAGAAAGCAGTAGTAGTGACAGCCCGAGTCCACCCTGGCGAGACTCCTGCTTCATGGATGATGAAGGGCTTCATGGACTTCCTGACAGGAGACAGCTTACAAGCTAGAGTGAGCCGATTCATATTCATATGTTTCATTAATTCTTGTTGCAGTGTTTAAACTTGCTCTATAGTAATACTATCAGAGGAGTTAATCTAAAAGCCTTTCATATTTGTTGTTCCCAGATACTTAAATTTTGAAACACTTTCAAATGATGTGTTACTTATAATTATGTTCTGCCGCTTTAAGCCCATGTATTTACTTCTAGGCCTATTTCTTTGCTAGCCTGTAGGAGATTCTCTGCATTCTTGGTTATGGTGCCCACACCATCCCCCAGCAAATTGATGTCATCATCATAGGCAAGTACCTGCTTCAGACCATTCAATTTGAACCCTTCCTGATTCCCTCTGACCTTCCTGATGACATGTTCTATGACGTTGACAAAAGAGAGATACCTCGGAAGTTACTGCACTCAGGTTTGTCCCCCATCTTAAAGATAGGGACAAAACTCGATTCTTCCCGCTGTTGTGGTAGTACTTCCTGGTTCCAAATCGAGACTCTAGGCTTATGTATCTTTGAGTGCAGTGTCCTACCACCTGCATGGATTCGAGTCGATGCCTCGAGATTTATAATAACATTTTAATTTCCCAATGGCAATTTCAGCTTCATTAAGGCTCGGTTCCGGGATGAAGGGCTCTGCTCTATGCACTTGAGGCTCGTTACATGTTTAGTAACTTACTAAAGTAATCTTCCCATCTGTCTGCGATTTTGCGTGAGTCCGCGAGCAGATCCCCATTCTCGTCCTTGATCAAATGTGTCCTAGGTTTGTACCCCTTGTTTCATTCGCTTATGCCTCTCTATACTACTCTGATGATTTTATTTTTGCTGTTAGTTTCCAACTCCCCTATGTGATCTCTGAGTTTGTCCCTTTTCTTATTCCTCAAAGTTCTCCTGGTTTTTACACCTTAAACAAATATACCTGTACCTATTTATTTGCAGGCGTTGCAATCTAGTGTGCAATTCTCAGATCCTTTAAATATCACCCGGGTCCTAAATCTGTACAATCCATCCTATTCCGAGGCTTTGCCGTTGTTTTTGTAACATAAAGCATTTTTGTGGTGAAGGGTTGTTAGACCTACGCCCAACCCCCAAGCTGGAGGACCACCCCATATCGACTGTCCGCGATTGCTTATTCAGTGTATTCACAGCTAACCTCCATAACTGGAAGCTGTACCTCCATCTGCAACCTGAGGAGGATGTTCCATGCCATGGTGACAGGGACCCACCTAACGTTGTTTGAACAGGACTGGCATTAGAATAATGCGGTGACACTGGGCATGTTGATTGTTTGACAACATAAAGCATTGGTGAAAGCAATACATCTTAAGTTCATGTTCAGAAAGGAAGGAAACTCTTGGAAGAAGTTGTGATACCAAATGTCATAAAATGCTTCAGTCTGTGTATTGGTTAAGCATCTGCCAGACTACTCTGTGCTACAACTCAGCAGACAGCCATCTTATTCGCTGCTGTGAGAACCCGAAATTCTACTCAATCTGAACTAGACTTTTGCAAAGGGTATTGAGCTCATAGTGATATGTAGTAATACTGAAACTCAAGTATACAATACTGAGTGCCTGTAGCTATGAGACTTCTCTCCAACCTGTTCTCTAGATCATGTTCCATTGCTGTTAGGAGCTGCGAGGCAAGTTCATCTTCAAGCTGGTGCCAATGTTGAACCCCGATGGAGTGATAGTTGGCAACAACCGCTGTTCTCTCACGGGACGTGACTTGAACAGGCAGTATCGCACTGTCATCAGGGAGACATATCCGCCCATCTGGAACACAAAGCTCATGATTCGCAGGTATAAAGAAAACTGCAATTAAACCACAGAATTCGAGATCGATTTTAGTACAGACCTCCAGACCCTGTGTTCATTTTTGTAAGAAGGTGAATGTTAAATTGTCTCTGGAAAGCATACAAAGGGAGGGAGTAGCTACAAAGCTGTTACGTTTCTTATCTGTTCACTAGATTGTGCTGAGTGGTTAGCTGCATTGCTGCAGTAAGAAAGACTCCAGTATTCATTGATAAGATACTTTATGCTATATTTCACTGATAGATATATTTTAAAGGTGTTTGTTCTTGATGTGTGTATGTTCCTTCCATATTTAAAACTTGTTGGCATATTTATTTCACTGAGCAGTTGGAAATGGTGAGCACTTCTTTAATGTCCTGTCATGTTCTGCACACTAATCAGACCCCACCGCTTCACAAATTAATTATCTGTTATTCGTTGTGTATGTACTGCTCCTAGTATGTTTATGATTGTCTTTATGCCTAAAAATTAGTTTGTTTTAAATTCATCGTATGATGCAAAAATCTACTAACCCTTTGAAGTGGAAGCTTGTCTAAATATTTATAGTTACGATTTGTTACGCAAAGAAAACTGAAATCTTCAGCATTGCAGAGATCAATGTTGAGCAGCTGTCAGTCATTACCCACATGATCAAGAACTTCCACATTGCTCATTATGGTCATAATCACAAAATTCTGCCATCGATGCTTGATGTGAGTCCACTCTTGTTCATCTCTTTGCAACTGTGATGTCTTTTACGACAGTGTTTTTGAACTGAACTGTTGTATGCATTTATTTCCTCATGTATGTAATGTACTTCATCTGTCTTATCCTTCTTGGTTCACTTTCATTGAGAGTAATCTGTGATGAGAATAAATATTGAAGGTTGGTATATAATATTCTCCTCTTTTCTGTTGGTTTGCCTGTGATAGGTCTAAATATTCTCTATACCTTATGCCCAGATATCCTCAATCTGTGTTTTTTCCTCAAAGTGAGACCAAGCTCCACACCCATTAAAACACAGTTTTTTTTATTTCTTTTCTTGAAAAGGTGTGCTGAAAGTGGTGCTTTATGCTTCTCATCCCAAAGCATTGCTTCAGCTTCCAAATATGCATTTAATTTATCACAGCAATTAATTATACTGCACTTACGTTAATGTAAGCCTCATTCATTTTGATTTTCAAGAAGAAAATAAAGAATAAATAAGTTCCCGTGCGTATGCTGTCACACATTGCCTGTGAGGCTTGTGAAAATGTAATTTGGAGTAAAGGAGTCACATGATGTCTGTAGGTGAAGACTGTTGGAATAAGAACGAGACTGACAGAAAATGACAGCACATATTACATTAGAGACATGTAATAGATTCCTTTTAGCGAGACAACTGTAATTGCTATAAGAGTACACAATAACCAACATCAGTGACGAACATGGTTTGAATGTTATTTATGGCTTGAAGCTAGCATATCTCTGCCAAAACATGTAGCAAATTTAAGATTGTGTGTCGATAAATAAATGTTGTGTGGATTGCGCTTACAGTCGGTTAATATTATACATATTGTCATGTCTCAGCATAGACTTTATCGCAGGTTGATGGAAGACTGTGGAATTGAAATGTACTGTGATCTGCACGCCCATTCACGCAAACACAACATCTTCATTTATGGGTGTGAAAATCGGCGATCTGCAGATCGTCGCCTGCAGGAGCAAGTATTCCCACTGATGTTGCACAAAAATGCTGCAGACAAGGTACTGAATCGTTTTTCTTCTATGATAATGGTGTCTAGGTAGGAATTGAACTGGGTTGTTTCGCTGCTCCGAAGTCCACGGCGTACAGACCCTCAGCTGAGGAATTCTTCAAAGAACTGTGCTAAAGACTGAAAATAAACTGCTAGTTTATAATACTAATACTAATGTATCAAACTTGGTAGTTTATGCAGTCTACAGGAGCAATTTTTTATTTTATTAACGGTATGTACATGTTTTTAGTAAGGCCGTGGCTGATGCCCTGTAGTTTTAGTAGAGAGAGAATCCAGCATCAGACAAAACAGATGGATAAAAGTAGAAAGCGGTCAAGAGTAATTCTTCACACTTCCAGTTACTGATGCGTAAACATAGTTGCAGCTGCTAATCTTATTGCCCTCCCATCACGTTGGTGAATACAAACTAAATACAACTCTTTTCATGAAGCCTCATTACGTATTTAGATGTATTTCGTACTGTAGGGTACGTTATGAATATATTTGTATACAAATCATACTTGTCCACCCTTGTTAAATTCTGAAATTGTGAAGAAAACTCTTTTACCTTTTATGTAATATGTTGCCACATTAAAAATATGAGCATTGCCAGTTTAAGATGTTTGCTTTCATTTGATTCTAGTTCTCGTTTGAGAGCTGTAAATTCAGGATCCAGCGTTGTAAGGAAGGTACAGGCCGAGTGGTGGTATGGATGATGGGTGTTGCAAACAGTTACACGATGGAGGCTTCATTTGGAGGTTCAGTTCTTGGGGGACGTGCCGGCACGCACTTTACCACGCAGGACTATGAGCAGATGGGACGTCATTTCTGCGAGACGCTGCTCGACTTCTGCGATCAAGATCCAAGCAAGGTGAGAGAGAACTGTCTTTTCAGTGGTAGGATTGAGTTTGTGTCCATTGTTACAGCTTCCTACACAGAGTAAATAGTATTTAATTTTTGCGGTAGAGTTGAATAATAAGTAAATATAAATTGCATTTTCCACAGATAATTTACATTTTTGGCATAAACTTTGGCTTCAAATGGAACCCTTCTCTTTCATCTGAACTTGGTCAGAAGAATGTGCCTTTTCATCATCCCAGTTATTTTGGGAATGATCGGTGGGGTGTTGGTCTGTAAATTTCTCCTGTTGGAAATGCAGTTCTGATCCATATGTTTGTTGAAAGTTTGGGTAGTTTTTGTGTCAAATTTCGTGGAAGTGTAGTAAGTAAGAACAGAGTCTTTTCATGCATACAGTTTGTATTTCCACCATAAACTTTAAATTGTAGTTGACTGCATATAGCTATATTAATACAGGGCAAATGTGAATGGAAATTCACTTAACTTTGCAGTAATTTTGTATGAGATTATAATTATTTTACACAGACTTACTCTTTATTTTTTGTGCTTCCTTTCTGGATGCATCTCAATGGTAAGAAAGTCATCTACTACCACTTTCCTTAACCATAAAAATTTTGTGTTTACAACCAAATCCTGTAAACACATTTGGTTGTACACTTACAATTTGTCGTGTCTTACATATGCTTGTTTCTGCTACTGGAAATGGTAGTATTGCAGATGGCTACCTGCATCTGCTGAACAAGTAGTACTCTTTAAGTGGTAAAAAATGGCATAGCTTAATTAAGTATTCTTAAGAGGAAAGAAAGTTCAATAAATGATGGAGGCATTGGTATTTTTCTCATAATAGCGTTGTGAGTGACAGCAATCCAGTATGAAATGCATGCATTACATTACTTTAAATGTTATAAAAAGGAAAGCTGCAGTTGGTCAACCTTATGCATTATAGAAATATGGCTGTGGAAAATGTTAATCAGTAATACTGAATTCTGTAACCTTTCTGCACTCACATATGTACTACACACGTGTGAGGGTGTGCACACGTGTGTGTCTCACACATTTTCCAGAATATCAGTCTGAAAATGGGAGTGTAGCTGAAACATATAATCAGTCTCTTCTTCGTTATAAAATGTTGGAGGAGCGACATGCCTCTTAATCAGAGCATTTGATTTGATAGCCAGCCCATTAATTTGTATGGTCATGGTTCAATACAGTACGACACAGTGTCATAACCTGCCGAGCCACAGTCGACATCTTCCCTGCCATAAGAACCTCGTATCTTAATTTTTACAGCTTTTCTGAAATTCCTTGATCAGTGTAGTGTTTTTACTGTCACAATAAATGTGTGTGTTAAGCGTAACAAATTTATTATCTGATTACATGTAAGTGTACGCATCAAGTTTGGTTATATGTAATGTGCAGGCCATACATTCGTGCGTCTGTAGGAGAGACTTCGTTGCAAGATTATTAACAGACTTGTTCAAGAAGGGTCCAGTGCTGATGACCCAACAAATATCAACCTCTCAGACTATTCCAGGTAAACTGTATTACTGTATAAATGAAGATGATGTATTCAGTTTGCATTTGTAATTGGTTACTGAAAATCCTAGCTGTTTTTTGGTAACATCAATTCTGTAGCGTTCGAATAAATAGATAGAATTTTTTACTGCATATTGACACTAATAATGTAAAATTTCTTGTGCACAGAACATTTACCATTTTCAGAGTATTGCAGTACTGTGTTTAATCAACTTTCCATAGAGCCACTAGTATACGAATGCAGTGCATGTCACTGGAAGGCTTCCTTCACTTGTGTAATATATAACAGTGGAGCTTTTCCTCCAGTGTAAAGAAAATGTGACCTGGTTACAGATGCCAGTTCCTGGTAGATGAGGCGACTGGTTTTCACCAATTCATATACATTTATAAATGGTGGTTGTTTTGCTTATAAAAACTTTTATAGCAGTTGTTTGTAAGAAACATTAAACAAGTTCTTGTCTTTAGCAGCTCCTTGGAATTCCAGTATATTTAAATACATTTCTTTGCTTGATTAACTGAAAATAAAACCAGTGTTTTCACAGTGATGTGGGTGACACCAGCAGTTTGTCAGAAGAAGAGGGTGCAGGTATGGGGATTGTGCCAAGAACAGAAGGATGCTGTCTACCATTACGAGTACCACCTTCATCCCCTGTCTTACCCAGAAGAGAGAATCACAAAACTGATTTACCTCCAGACAACAAGGTAGTGTAAAAGCATGTGTTATGACGCCGACCTATAGAAAATTGCGTAGTAAAAATAACCCTGGTACCTCTGCAGAGATTAAATTAGTCCTTTGAAAGTTTAAAGTGCCAGGAATGAAATTGCATAAGAGCAAACTCACATATGCAAAAGTTTGCATTTCACAAACAGCTTTTACCGATTCATCGATTTCATTGGAGCAAATTCGCATTAACAAAACATACGTAATTGCAGAGATGACTGTATTTATAATTTTTATTCAAAATCAGCGATGTAAGAATTACGATTTAGAATCAGTAAAACATAATAATAGTAAAATACATTTTTTTAACTTTTTGACTCGCTGGTTTCAAAATTGGCGTTATTCTGAATCGGCGCAAATCGAGGGCTACCTGTACTTGGGCACAATCTGACATCCTTAGAAAATGACATGGTAGTAGTGTGTGAGCTGAACTTTCATCTTTGCTACCACATTAGCCAGAACATGCATCAGTTGCTCCAGCTGCCTCAGACTGGAGCCCTGCACCCCAGCGAACTCGGCCCACTCTTCTGATACACAGGACTACAATTGACTTGGGAACAGACCCTGGTAGTGATCTTAATGATCCAGCTACAGATTCTGAAGATGACAGCTCATATCGGCACCACCGTAGTCAGAGTTGTGAAAAAGCTGATATTTCTCCTGGAAGAGGTAAGTGGATTGACATTTTAAATAAACCTTTGATTCCCTGAAGAATAGCTTTTCTTATATAACATTTTTTGTATGTTTACTAAGAACTGTAATGAGATGCTGGTTTCTTGCCCTTCGTTAGAATAAAAAATAGTGTTGTCATTCTAGATATGGGTTTTCAATATTTTCAACAGTGTCGACAAACAAGTGCATAGTCAGCAGTGATATGCCTCCAGAACTCATTGTGACTTCAGCACAAGGTCAAGTGATAAGTGTAGATTCATATGAGAAGCAGGCTGATGGTGCTGCCACCTCAGGGCTTCAGCAAAAACATATGGAGAAAACTCGACACAGATCAAGCCAGATGTCTGTTGGGTATGTTGACCACTACCTTATGTGAGTCTTTTTGTGCAAATTAAGTTAAAGAATGTTACAGCGGTGGAGTAATTCACATATTTCAGAGTTCATACATGCATTCTTTACCCTAACCAAGAGTAAAAAGTTGCACTTAGAACCAAGGTCAGCAGAGAGTCCTTTGATGCTTTTAATGCACTACATACATGAAATGAACACAGAATCAGGTGCTATGCCCGTTCATAAGTGTCGTCTCCAGAACCGAGATTTCTGTGAAATTTGGTGTTGGAAGTGATAAGACTAATTACTGTCTGCAGCCTAGCCGGCCAATATACGTAACTCTTTCTTCACTTGAAGCTCGGATCAGTTTTTATAATTTTTCTCAGAAATGGCTCATTGAACAAGTATCTTGTACACAAAATAGGTCTCATTAGTGTCTATGAATTCTACGTACAGTATGTACGTGTATAAGTATGATGTTTATTTTGTTAAATATATCTGTGCAGTGTAAATTCTATAGCATCAGAATTTATGAATGTTCAGTATGGTATCTGTACTTTTGATTTACTCTTCAACATTACGTTTGTATCTTCTATAAATGAATGTCAAGACCCAAGAGATATGCAAAATCGTAAAGAATAATTTTGGAATATATTACACCAAACTGAAGTACACGTTCCTGCTCTTGTTAATCTTTTCTTCAGTGTAGAATCTGTTGCTGGGATTTGTTTGTACAGAGGTTACAGTGTAAATAAATAGTACATTTATGGTAGCTGTCCATTTTGGGATTTCATGCAAATGCAACTCAGCTTAGGAATTGAATGAATAAAAAAACACTCAGAAAGAATCTTGTATTGTTGTATTAAGGTATTTTTAAAGAATTTATTTATATAACAACTGATGTGCTATATTTCTTAACTGATAATGCTCTGTATTGTTAGACATTAAATAATGGAATTAATTTCGCAGTGTGAACCGAGCATGTAAGATGGCTATTCCGCAGCTGGGGACTGAAATAAGATGGACTAGGCAGAGCTCGTTGCTGCGAAAAAAAATATGGACGAGCATCCCTTGCACCTGTCACGAACCGAATGCTCCAACGCATTGGAGTGGTCATGGAGGTGAGGCGTCAACTTTGCAGGCCTGCTCACGGAAACTTTCCAATCTTCAGAAACAAAAACGTGACCCAGTGGAAAGGAGCAGAAAGCCTAACAAGAAACAAGGAGAAGACTGCAGACTTCTCAGAGCCTCAGTTTCAGATATTTCTGCAGGAGAAGAGACCAAGAGGAATGCGATCATGAAAGAGATTCGGACAAGTAGTAGGTATGGAGTGCAAGTTCAAAGTTTGAAACCACTAGTAGTATTTACGCGGTGCAAGTTACAGAAAAGCTAGAGCCTCTAAAAAGGAACAAAAGAGGGAAGATAAGGCAAGGGAAAGTGTAGTCGTTTAGAAAGAATGAAAAACTTGTTCAGCTTGGAGGGACAGAAGCACAGTCATGATTCTCAGTACTTTTTGTTCAGGGGGCAGAAGTGCCTTCAGGATATCCTAACAAACCTCCCATAAGGAAACTAAATATAGCGTTGGGTTACGCTACACATATGGGAGGGGTCGACCGCAGTGACCACTATATTGTTTCTTACCGGTTTATGAGGAGAATGAAGTAGTACCGGAAATTGTGCTTACTTGTGACTAAACAGTGATAAATTTATATGGAAATTGAAAATATTTCAGTGTGTAGTGAGTGCAGGGACTATTTTGACTGAGTCCCTTTTCACCATGGCATGGCACGTTCTCAGGTTGCGGTGGAGGAAAACTATTTTCAGATATGGAGGGTAGCTGCAAATATATTGAACACGCAGTTGTGGACAGCCTACAAGGGGTAGTCCTCCAGCTTGAGAGTTGGGTAACAGGCTGACAACTTCATACTGTAAAATCAAGCATGCCACAAAATGTTACACAGAGCCTCAGATTAGGAACCATTTGCAGCTTTTGTGAACACGATAATTAGTACTTGAAGTCCATAAAAGTGAAAAACTTCTTGGCCAGTTGAGGTAACTAAAGCTTCTCAAGGAGGACACTGTTCCATGCAGTCTGTTAGTTATGAGAGCAATGATACATATGTTGTTTTTGCATTGAGAATATAAGTTAGTGTTTTGTTCCCAAAATGTTATCCTTGGCAGCAGAAAAAGCAGCACACACACGACTGAATATTGAACCAGAGACCCCCTGAATGAGAGTTCATTGTCTTACCTCGAGGCTTCCATCAGCCTGAGAATGAATTAATGAATTATGTTTGAATTTTACAGTTAGGCAGAACATCTGATTAATATACTAAGTTATGTCAGTGTTAGTATTATTAATAGTTATAGTGCAGACCTAGATGATAAAGGTGAGAGAAAAACTGTAATTGAACATCCACCTAAGTCTTAATTTTGTCGCTACAATTCTACATTGTGTGTGTATCAAGAAATTGCATGATTCTGTTAATTTGGGTTTCTGTTAGTAAAAGTACAATTTGCATTGCATCCTCAGGAAACATCTGCACCATGATGACATTAGAAAAGTACATAAAGGCTCGAGTAATGATACGTCTCCTGGAGAAGATATGGAGAATAATCTTGCTGATGTGAAGAAACTGTTGCGACAGAAGTGCAAGCTTCAGAAATGGAAGACTAGTAGTAGCTCAGAATATATGTGTGAAACTGTTGGTAAGACTGAATCTTTGCATCAACAAAAGAAACCTCATAAATTCGAACCCTCTCCCCATGCCCATCAGAGGAAAGTCTGCAAGAAACCAAGCCTTAAGTGGAAATTCTGTCATGCCGTTGCATCTGTGGTGACAACCCATGACAGTAATGCCAGAAACCTAGTTGACCTGACAGGCTCAACTTCTGAGTCAAGTACTGAAGACAATAAGCTAGAAATACCAGCTGTAAGAGCAAGCAGTGCACACAGCAAGAAAAAGAAGAGGCATAAATCAACAGCTGGACACAAGAAGTCTCGACACGTCTCGTCTGCCTCATCTGTACTGTCAACTTCACGTAAACAGACAAGCAGTAAAAAGCTGGTGAAAACCTAATGGTGTTAATGGTCAGAAGTCTTCTGTTATCTGATGTAACAGGAATTTGACTGGAGCGACCAGTAGATGAAATATAAGCGTGACTGCAGTTGGATGACTTTAATTGTGCTGGTCTTCGTGGGGTGAATTGGTGTCCATAATTGGCTATATCAATATGTAGTTTAGCTATCCCTGGCCTAGATGGTGTGTGGCATGAACAGAGGTGTCCAGAACTTGTTCCTCAACTTGTACTAGTGACACCACAAATCGGAGGTTCATATTTGTCTTTTCTAATTTAATATGTCTGATAGGAGGTTTTAAAATGGGCATTCTTTTGATTTGTAGGTCATCCAAACCTTCATTAAGAAAGTATAGAGTTTGTTACTATGATTATAAATATAATTTCATTTTGAAATTTCCAAGATTTGTTCATGGTTCATGTTACCTGCAAGGTTCTGGTCTGTAGTTGCAATGTGTTCTGTCATGTTTATTGAATTTAAGTTCATCCGTGTTGTGACAAGTATGTGCTTTCCTGTCTGATGTCTTACTGTCAGGTTTCTGCCTCTGTAAAACATGAAATCAGTGGTGCTGCTGCTATTATATCATCACCCTTACAAAAGAAATTTATTATATTATATCTAATATAATGAATTTAAGACTTATGTTCTGGAGTTGTATTGTGGAGTTGCTCTTCTAAAACTTCATACCAATCACATGAATTTGTAAGGTGAGCATGACAGTAGTGCTGTGTAATATAGGGTTCTGAATTTATGTAAGGTAGTAAGTCTTCAAACGGCATGCAATTTCACTGAAGAATGTAAAACATGTCACTTAGCTTTAAGTTTGTCAGTGTTACTGGAACTAGGAATATGAAAGTGTGTATGATGATGTTGCCTGTAAGTCAACAACTACAAACATGTTGGCGCTAGAAACTCGGAGATTACATCTGACAAATCTAACACAGGCTGAGCCTGTATGTAAGAAGTGGTAGATGGTAACAATGACAACAAGGGAAATTTGGTGGCACAGTGATTAACACTCCAGCTTCATATTTCAGAGGTCCCAGGTTCTGATTTTGCCTGGAAATAAACTCTTCTGAGGTTTTTAGTGGTTTTCCTCAGTCCCTTCAGGTGAATACTGGGATAGTACCTTAGATGAGGCTACAGCCATGCCCTTCTGTATCTTTTCCAGTCCATCATCATTAATCATCCTAGTATTTGATATCACATAGTCTGAGGTACTGATAGCATCATTTAGTAAACCACAAATAAACAACACCAAACATGACAACAGCAGCAGTAACAGCGATTTGTAACATACGTACATTGTATTTTAATTATGACATACCATGTGTTGTACATGACAGAATTATTTGTAGGTACAGTTTCCCTTCTCAGTCAAACAGCAACTTTGTATAATATAGAACATTAAGCACAAGTGGTTACATGCTTTTGTATGTGACAGAGGATCATTGTCAGACCTCGATATAGCATGAAGGTGGAAAGGAAAAATGTGCGTAGAGATTCTTCTGTTATATTTTCATTTGGTTCATTTTATCTGCATATGAATGGTGGAAAAGTAGTATGAAAAATGCCAAACCTATTGGTTCCTGTGATAAAAACATCTGCCTTAAGAATTACGTCTTCTGGTTATTACACAGTTAACAAGCTGTTTTATTGTTCAAACAAAAGTAGTTCTTTTTCTTGTGGTTTTGTGATAAAGAAATTGTATGTCAGCTCTGTTGAGTATATGGCAGTAAGGGTGATATTGATGTTTGAAAATACTGGATTAATAAATGAAATTCCACCAAATGACATGTCATTTGGCACGTGTGATTTCTTTTTGTGACCAGATAAATGTGCACATGAAGAAAGCCCACATGAAAATTCCGCACAGAAAAAACCCCACTGTCATAAATGCTCACATGAAAAATACCCACATGGAAAATTTGACACAGATAAATGCTAGTTCCTAATTAAAGTTGATTATCAAGAGCCACAACAGTTCATTGGTGACCAAAATGCAGAAGGTCCAGTGTGCATTGCAAATGTTTTGCAGAATATTTGTATTTTAATCCAAATTCCAAGCATTGCCAGCAAAATATATTGTTCAATTCTTTTTTGCAAGCTGTTAACCATGGGTATAAATCATGTTGCCAAAACCAGAAACCTCCAGTGCAAAGGCAAGGGGGCATGTTGGTATTTTCTTAGTGCCCTTTATCCTCCTTTAGTGGATATATTTTCTTTTGGACATGATTGGCATTTTACAAACTGTACTTTGTGTGTTTATCTACTAAATGTTTTATTCAGGTTTGTTTAGTATTTCACTGTTTAGGAATTCCCAGTACCTGGTTGCTGATTAAACAAGTTCATGTACAATCCATTTAAGCCAAATGTGGAGCAGCATTATTCATTGGTACAAAGGACAAGACTGAAGAGGCATAAACCATACCAGGATACATACATGCACCACTAAAGTAAATTCCAAATGATTAATAAAAGATTATGTGAGTTATCTTACTCAGGTAACTAGTTTCAAACTAATACAAATTGCATGATCTTAAAGTAAGTTCCATAAATCAATGTGTTATAAGGCTTGTATGTATGTGGTAGCACACAGGACTCGTGTATGAGGTCACAGGACCAAATCCTGGTGAAGTAATTTCTTTCATGCAGCCACCATATTGTAATAACTATACAGCACTGCATAGCTTATTGAAGTGGCATTAGTGTTGAACCCACTCCCACAGGCTTGTTCATCTGTCAAGTTGGTATCACCCGTTGTGGAAAATTGCATAACGTCCATACCAAATTTAATCAAAATCCGTCCAGTGGATCTTGAGTCATGTAGATAAAGACATGACCAGCATTATATGCGTTCATTTCATGCTCATCATCCAAAGTACGCATAATGTTTTTCGATTTGGATGGAGTAGGATTAGAATAGTAGTTGTCACCAACTGGGAGAGAATAGCACAGTTTACGCGACTTGGTACGAGGTTGTGATCCTGCTGATGGAGCAGCAAGCACCTCTTAGACTACAATACGGCTCGATATCCGAGAAATCAACTTCGTTCTTCCACCATGAGAACCTGAAATCTCACTTTCACTATTTTCATCCATTATGATTCCATAGGTTGCAGCACGTATGCGTCAGCTGTTTAAGGGGGTCGTTTCATCTAGGCTGTATATCTTTGCGGCTAATAACCCTCGCTGTAGTAATCATGGCGATGGGTAAAGGATTTCGTGTGTGTGAAAAAATAAATCCACCGAATCCATATAGTGTTTTATTGGAACAAAGAAATAAAGAAGAAACGTTGTTGTTCGAATCACAGGCGGTAGCAGTACTATGTGCGTATTATAATTTGTTGAAATATATTTTTTATCACTCGTGGTTAACCCGTCATTATGACGTTTGGGAGCACGAAAGTTGATTCAAATGACAGATTTTCAAGCATCGTTACTTAATAATACGTTCTGAAAACAAAATATTTCGTTGTAACCAGCTTTTGTGCGTGGAAACCTTGACTTGGGAGAGGGCTGATATTTGGTACATGATGAACTTAAGTCGAACTGTGTGGCCCAGTGGTTAGTACTCCTGTTTCGTGTTGCGGAGGTATCTGGTTCAAATCTCGAACAGGAGATCGGCTGACCAGACAGGTGTTGTTCAGTCCGTGTAGGCAAATGCCAGGATAGTATAATCAATTATGCCATTGACGACTTCGTTTCGTGTTATCTTCAATTTGTTGTTTATTAATTATTGTTGACATTATAGTCATACAACGCTTTTATAAATAAACTACAGTCCCAAGGTAGAAGGAGATTTGCATGACAGTTGAGGGTTTCAATGTTGAACGAAAATATGGCCAGTCACTGTTGAAAATAATTGGCCTTATATGTAATAAACAATCAACGTTTTTATTTTCAGTTACTTTCTTTTTCTCAGTCATTCAGTTTTGATTGTCAGGAAGTATTGTATCACCTGCAGTGTGGATTGCAAATTGCAGGTTGTGTATGGTCTGTTCAATAGTTCCTGAGTTTATATGCAGGCCTGGAGACAAATTATTATGATGTGGTAGATGTCCATGTTTTCCTCAGTCCCTCCAGGAAAATGCCAGAATAGCACCTTAAATTAAGCTATGATCACTTCTTTCTGCTTCCCTTCTAATTCATTGTTCACTAATAATTGTGCTATTTCTTGCCACTGTGGACTAGGTCCTTTCAACTTACGTGATATCCTGTTGACAAAATCTATACGGTTCAAAATTGCATATCATAAAGAGTGAATAACTGTAATGCAGTTTTTGTTTGTTGTGTATTGCCTGATTCTCAAAGCTGTACTATTCAGTTGTCCAGTATTTACAAGTCAGAAAATGTAAAACTGTGAGTATAAATGATGTACAACAGGGCTCTGGTCATGCAGGTGGACATTTGGTTAGTGTCTTAAAATAGGTCTCACACTGCTTACCTCGTAAATATTTATGTTCTGTTATTAAGCCTGAAATACTCAGAAAACAGCATTGATCAAATGCAACCTTTTTGTGCCATAAACAGTTAAAATGGCTTTAATACAGTGTGACAGTAGTTAATATGTAATATGAGTTCACTTTATTTCAGCACCTCAAGAAACTGAGTCTGTCAAAAAGCAGTACACAAAGTTGTTGGATGGGTATGGCTGTTTGGGAGTATTGCAGCTAAATGCAGGTAAGTGAACTCAATGCTAGCCATTAATGCTCAGGTTAGATGCGTGTTCCTCAGTTATTAGGAACAGCTTACGTGTAGTCTGCATCTGTAAGTTCTGCACTGTTTTTCAACCTTTAAAATATTCAACCTATTCATATGTTGCATAGTTATGGTGTGTGTAAAAAAGAGGTGCTAATGACATGTCCAAAATTTATGGATGTCAGTACCTGCTGTAGGCTTACTTTAATTAAGAATTAATGACAATGGTATTAATAATAATCTTTTGAAGCCCACTCCCATGCATTGCACATTACACCCCAGCCTCAATAACGTTTTCTAAAGTTTATTCCACCAATTTTCGCTTCCCCATCACAAAAAGAAAAATTCCATTTCTGTTAACACAGTCTGAACTCAAATGCAAGCGCAGTACTGACGGAGTTAAAACTGTGTCTTCTGCAATACTGTAGTCCAGTTAAGGGTTCAGCAAAAGAATAGTTAAACACTTGCAGTGCATTCCAATGCTGGGTTCAATGTCCATAAGATAATCCTCCAGAGAGGAGGCATTCATCAGTCAGAAACTCGAAATAACAAAAAATATGCAACTGAAAAAGTTTCCCTGAAAAACATCGAAGCCTAAGTGCACGAACCTGTCCAACTTACAACAAAAGCGGTTTTCAAGTTCCTGGATAAAGGGGTGTCCAAGATATGGGGTATTATGGACATGTAAAATTATAGGATATTCGCCAGTTCCAATTAAAAGTGTCCAATAAAAAAGGGGTGTCCAACTTGAGGGGTTTTACTGTATCACAAAATTAACATGGGTTTTCATTGAGTCTGGGTGCTTAACTGTATCATGGTCATGAGTTATGAATATGTTATCATTTTTTGATAATCTTCATCTTAACATGTTGTTCATGTCCACTGCAAGAAAACTGTGCACAGTCATTCATAATTCCCTGACACATTACAAAAAATTGGTAGATTTCAATGGTGCGGCGGATGGTAACATAGAACATGCCGATAGAAAGAGAAACTCTCCAAGTTTATTTCACATACGTCATAAATGCTCTATGTGCCCACCCTTTGTGACGTGACAGTCATCAAGCCAGTAATCCACTTCCGCCCTCACCCGCTGCAGCATGCCACTATTGATTTGTTCTGGTGTACTCCAAAGAGTACACATTTCCAATCTTTTTTCATGTTCATGGTCATTTTGAATCCTTTAAAATACAGTTACAGTATGGACAGTGTTGTTCTTCTGGGTTTTGGTGCCGTGTAGGCTTACAGTTAGATACCAGTGTTTTGGTCAAACATACTGTCTCCATCTTCAGGGCTGAAAACCCAGAAGAATAACCTTGTCATTTTCACAACTGTGAGAACCTCATATCTCACATAGAATACTGAATATGTGTATTTGTCCATCTGTGATCACAGGAGAAAGTACAGCGCTGTACCTGGTGCTTGTAACTGGCTGTGTGTCAGTTGGGAAGATTGGTGATTCTGAAGTTTTTCGGGTAACTCAGACAAGTTTTGTATCACTCCGTAACCAGTCACAAGATGAAGAGCGCATCGCCGAAGTCCGCAAACTTCTTAACTCTGGCACCTTTTATTTTTCGTGGTCATCCTCCGGAGAAGCGTTAGATATTACGCTGTGCGCTCAACGTAGAAGGAAGAATGCCGTGACAGACAACAGGTTCTTCTGGTATGTATTACTTTACAGGAACATAGCGCACTGAAGCCTTGCGCTTGATGTATCTTGATACAAGGTTTTCACGAAAGTCTTGCAGTGTTTCCATGTAGGCATGTCATGTGCTAGTCATCCTGTTATTTCCCATTGTAAATTTAAATGACCTTTGAAGATGTATCATGTGTTGTGGAGTCATAGAAGGTGTGAATTTAAGAATAAGATGTCACGACGTTTTTGCTGCAGGAATCGCATGCTGCACATCCATCTGCTTCGCTTCAGTGTAAACTGCTCCAGCTGGCTACTGAAAGCAATGTGTGGCAGTGTTGAAATTAGAACTGTGTACGTCGGTCACCGACAGGCTCGGGCCGTGATCGTCTCTCGACTCAGCTGCGAGAGAGCTGGCACCAGGTACGCTGCAGGTCCTTCCTTACTCCAATGAAAAGATGTATAAGCTGCTTCTTACTGCAGCCTTTTAAAATTCTGTGGATTTCTTGTATTTTGCACCATTTTGTTATCAATGTTTCAGATTTAATGTGCGAGGCTGTAATGATGAAGGCCATGTGGCCAATTTTGTAGAAACTGAGCAAGTCATCTTTCTGGATAACGAAGTAACATCGTATGTGCAGACAAGGGGCTCTGTGCCTCTGTTTTGGGAGCAACCAGGCGTGCAAGTAATTTTTGTTTATGGAATATTTCAGATAGATTTTCTCTTTATAATCGTTTATTTAAATTGCTGGTTCACAAATACCGTCTCCAAGGTTCTGCTGCAAGTATTTGATAATTAATGATGTAATATTAATATTTCGTTTAAACAAGTCTCACATCCATTGATAGGTTCTGCTGAAATTTCATTATAGCAGAAGAATGGCATCTGAAATAACATCCATTGATAGGTTCTGCTGAAATTTTATTATAGCAAAAGAATGGCTGTATGCTTTGTTCTTCCAAACAAACCTAACACTGGGATATTTTCAAACACATGTGCACGCGCACACTTTTTGTATGTGTGTGTGTGTGTATTTGTGTCTGTTACTGATGATTATTTGATTGTCTTGAATCTTGTCTTATTTAATTTCACCACAGCATTATGTCACTATGAAGGTAGCTAAAGCAGATTTGGGTGCACTGGACACATACTTTGAATGGGGAATAAGAATTGCATGCAAGAATTTAATCGGAAAATCGCTTCGAAGACCAAAAGAAGGTAATATTAAAATGAATCCTGTGGAGAGAGTCTTTGCATTGGCCTGAAGTGACTCAGCACTGTGTCCAGTGGACATCTTTGATATTAGTGATGCTGAGCATTTGGTCTTTGTTATTAATGAGTTTGTTGTTAACAAATTTACCAAAGCTTGTAACGGTATATATGTTTTTGTCAGAAATTATTGTTGTTCTTTATTTAAGGTTGGGTCTCATAAAGTGAAAATGTCACGTGGATTTGAGGCCTCTGTATCTTCTTTTGATCGTCACTTGAAAATGATTAAGGAACGATATGGAAACCAAGTTATTGTGAATTTGCTGGGATCAAGTCTTATTGGGAGCAAAGAGGGGGAAGCCATCTTAAGTCAGTTGTTTCAGGTTTGTCACATGAATATTTCAATCTCTTGTAATGAAAGACAAACATTTGGGCTTTCACCATCCCGTTTTATGCAGATGTGCCTCATCATTGATGGGTGTGTTTACAGGCTCACCACAGAGCGTCAGTCCATGCTTCTGACGTACCGCACATAGTATTTGATTACCATCAAGAATGCAGAGGTGGAAACACCAGGAACCTTACAAAATTGAAGGCCAAAGTTGAAAAATATATGAAGTCATTTTCTGTCTACTATGCCAAAGGTGACGAAGTCATAAGGTAATGCTGCATTCTGTAGTGTTTTGGTAAGGGTTTAAGTACGTTCCTTACGTATGCTTTTGTGTATATAAATTTCTGTATGTCCTTGTTTTCCATAACATTCTTCATGATTCATAATGAAATGAAAATTGTGATATGTCTTATGTCTTGCCCACCGTTTTTGGTGATTTCCATGTCATTATCATTGTCATTGTTATCCTCATTTGATGCTCGCTGTTCTCCCTCAGTCTGTATGAGTTGAGTTCACGTAACCTGCCAGGTGGCTTGGTGTGTGTGCTGTTGTTTTTTTTAGCACTTCGTGGTCTTACGTGGCTTATGGAGGTGGTCGAAAATGGACCAAAACATGTAGACCAGAAGGCTGTAAAAGTTCTGATGTAACTGGTGGTTGTAATAAAATTATATTTGTTAAGATATTTCATATTCTGGCCACTTGCAAGATGTTTAATTTAATCAAAGACATGATGATATAAATTGGAATATGTGTTTCAGAGTTTGGTACAATTTCTATGAAAACGTTTTTGCACCTGCACCGGTTGTGCATCCATAGGGATTGAAAGGCGTCGGATCGGCACTTTGCTTGCCGGCGCAAGTCTCTAAAAACGTTCAGATTTGTTTATAATGGCGTGTGGAGATCACCGAGTCTTATTTCTCTTGTTTCATCTACAGATTTCTCTGGTAAGGAAATCAGAGCTGCGCCATATGTTGGAACAGAATTTGACATCCATTGATGTGACATATGTTGAATATGTATGTATAAAATGTCGGCATCTTATTTCTGTACAGCTCTGACATTCTTTCTGCACACCGACACACCTGCCACCATCATTCATTGACATTTCCATCTGGTTGAGTAATTATATAATAAAGCCTCATTGCACTTATTCCCTCTTCATTGTTATCATCGCCATCATCATCAAAAACTATGCAGTATTGAGCTGTCTGTTCCTGAAGGTTATGTATCTGCTGGGGCATCCCAAGTATTGGAAGACGAATGAGTCATGGATAAGCTATGAACCTATTACACGGTCATTTCTGCTTTTGGTGGGGCGCTCGAAAGTTCTCAAAGAAATTTGGCATGTGCCTTCTCCTGTGGATTCATAGTGACTGACCTGATTCGTAAAGATGGATGAAGTTCAGCGGAAAATACGCGGTGCTGCCATCTTCTGGAAGTTCATTGAAACTTGGGAGGTTTCTCTTACAGATGATGATCAGACAGTGTGTCTATGTCTTTTCATAAAAGTTTTATTCACGGGTAAAGTTATAAAGATAATTTATATACACCCTGTACTAGAGCATACCTTCTACTAATATATAGTTTCCTGTCTCCACAGCAAACAAAAAGGGACAATACGCACAAACTGTTTGGACTGCCTTGATCGGACAAATTGTGTTCAAACCTTCTTTGGATTAGAGGTATGATAATGGCGTTTTATTTTAATGTTTCTGAATGTGAAGGTCTTTTTGTTAAAGCTGCTTATAAAATTTTTTTAGGAACCTTGCTGATCAGCAATTTCCATTTTTTTCTAGGATGCCGTGAACTTGAAATTTGTAATAAACCCACATATCATTCATTTGTTCATAACCTCCAAAGGTTCTGTACTGTCAGTAAACAATCCACTTCATTTTGGAGGTTGCAAAGTTCTCAGATGCGGCCTTTTTAAGTTATTAGGAGGTAATAAGGATTATCTTTACTAAGCTTGCTGATGAAAATTAGGGAATGTGGGTAATTGCCTTCATATGTATATTCATATGTGACTACCATGCAGTTCCCTTTATCATTCTATAAATCCTAATGTCTTTTATGAGTTTCAGTGCTGGAGAAGTTTAATCCTTTGGCATCCAGCACAAGAGCGATGGACTTTGTAGCTTTAAAATCCTTGATCGGATCTTTCAGCTAAACTGGATTCACTATTCACTCTTATCTGCGCACTACGCTGCACACATAATAGTTTACTGTTCATTTTGGAAGGTTGTTATCAGAGCGATTACTCTGAAACTGAATTTTTAAGTGGCTTAGACAGAATGCTGCATCATGCTTACGGGCTAGGAGAATTCAGATTTCCGGGGTGAGAAGAATGTGTGTCTCCTGTGGTATAGGCTGCACCTTTTCAGCCTTGGTTTCTGTTCTCTCGACTGTTAAGAATCACAACGGAAATTTCAGTTTCTCTGTTATGTAGCGTGTGAGTTTAGTGGGTCAGTATAAATCAAAATTAAATAAATGTGTAAACTTTTATTGAAGATTTTATTAGAATTCATCACATGGTTTGGGAGTGTAAATGAGCAGTCGGACAGATGCAAATTACTTCACTGTTAAACATTTAATTTTTCTAAGTGTAGAAGTAACATCGAAGAGTCTTATCTGTGGGCATTGTCAGCTGGATTTGTAAATTTTCTGTTTCAGACACTTGCTAACCAACTTCATTTTCTGTGCCTAATGGAGAAACAGCAAATGGTGTCACGATTTGAAGAAGTTTTTCGTCAGATGTGGATCAACAACGGGAACGAAGTCAGTAAAATTTATGCTGGTACGGGCGCAATTCAGGGGGGTTCAAAGGTGAGTGTTGCCGTTTGCTGTCATTTCCTATTTGCACGTTCTTCATAGAAGATAAAATTATGCAGTGCACTTTCAAAAGAGTAGCTAAGTTCCATAGGGAAGGATTAACTGACTGATGATGTATATATGATTTAGGATATTATAACATTCAGGAATGCTCTTTGGCTCTGTGGTGACATAAACAAATTAATTTTTGCAGCTGTAAAATAGGTAAGCACGCGTTGCTGTTATGGGCTGAACTGTGTTGCTGTCAGTTTATAATCTGTGATCTTTGTGGACTTTCCTCTTGTCTCTCCTATGTGTTTTCGTAGGAGAAGGGAAATACTATTGCTATACTTTTACCGTGAGTTGTTCTTTCGCAGGATATTATAACATTCAGGAATGCTCTGTGGTGACATAAACAGATTAATTTTTGCAGCTGTAAAAAAGGTAAGCACGCGTTGCTGTTACGGGCTGAACTGTGTTGCTGTCAGTTTATAATCTGTGATCTTTGTGGACTTTCCTCCTATCTCTGCTATGTGTTGTCCTCGTCCATATCTAGTCTCTCAGTGGTCCACACGTCTGGAATTTCCGTCAATGCAGAAGAACGGAGAATGTGATTTTAAGTGACAGCCTTTTTCTTCTTTAGTGTTTTTATGCATGGAGTGTCATTTGTACCAGTAGGTTTATTTGCCGTGCCTGTGAATGTTGAGACACTGTTTGGAACCCATCTTGCAGGAGCCACTCGCGGGATTCCAGCGTGTAATGCAAAAGAAACAGTGTTCTTATTACAAGATTTCCGATATATTGGTAACTCTCTCACTGTCCACTGACATGATAGTGAGTACACCAGTCACGCTGTTGAATTATTATGCCAAACTGAAATGTACCGTTATTCAATACGTATTAGATTTGATTAGTTCAGTTCTAATGAAACATTTAATTTGCTGTGACATAATCATAATATCATAATATGTATGTTTAAATCATTGTCGGATGAACTACATCACAGTACAGTGATCTCGTACAGTCAACAGACTGTACTAAAAGGGTTTACGTAGGAGAAGGGAAATACTATTGCTACACTTTTACCGTGAGTTGTTCTTTCGTAGCTGATGGACGGAGCAAGATCTGCAGCACGCACTATTCAGAACAACCTGTTGGACAACAGCAAGCAAGAAGCTATTGACATACTGCTACTAGGCAGTACCCTCAACAGTGAGCTGGCAGACCGTGCACGCATCCTACTGCCATCCAATATGTTGCATGGTATTGATTCCCTCTGTCTTTCTCATAGTTGTTCAGTTTCATTTCCTGATGACACACTTATGTAGACGAGTAAGACTGAAATTTATTACCTGCGTTGCAAACAAATTGTTTTTTTTTATTATTATTATTTGTGAACCTTATCCTCTTCATCATCCTAAATAATCACGAGTTTACTTTATGACTTTTGTTGGGGATGTACTGGCTGCAGGTGTTAAATGCTTACGAAATTTTCTTCGGGTTACTTACCTCGAAATAAGCCACCACCATCTCATGTATTTTCTCTTTATATTCTCTATTTATCTTTGCTTCGGTGTCCTATCATTTTATGGTGAAGTGTTGGCAGGTCATTACTCCTTTGTATTATGGCGGTAATGAGGTAAAATCAGGGCCCAGAGACCAGCTTTTGTGACTGAGACTTTCCATGGCTTTCCTTCATCTTTCCAGGAAAATGCTAAGGCAGTGCCTTAAATTAGGCCGTGGCCACTTCCATCAGTATCCTATGAAATTAATGATCTGTCAATCATCCTATCATTTGGAATTGTGTTGTAAGAGCTACTGACAGTATATTTAAATAAATTGTAAATAAATAAGATAAAGTATCATTACTAACTAATGAGTCACCAGAATAAAAGTCGCCTTAATATGAAAAACTTTGTTTTGTCATTTAATGTATTTGTCATTACATTCTTGTATCATGTTTTTTTGTTCCTGCCATGGATTTTGCCCTTGATTTAAGTAAGCACAGTATTTGTATATTTTCAGTGGAAAGAATGCTGATGTAAGTACAAAGCTTATTTAGAAGGTCAGAGTGCAGAGGTCTGTCATTAACAGTTTTATGATCGCCTTATTTTCAGCCTCAACGAGCGTCTTACGTCAGATGTGCAAGCGGTATAATGAGTACATCTTCCCGATGAGCGCTAGGGTAGCTGTTGGAACGTAAATGCGTCATGTTTGTGTTTTATAATTAAAATATATAATATAATTCAGGTCTATACACAAACTTGTAACATCGTAGTAACGATGAATAGCGCAAATTTTAAATTTTAACATCTGTAAGTAAAGTTTGTGTATAGACCTGAATTATATTATATATTTTAAATATTTATTATAGTTAATTATGTCTTATCACTTGTTCATTGTCAACCCTAGTGCCTTGTTTTCTCATGTAATGTTTGTGTCCCCCTATTGTTCTGTCACCACCACCCCATCCCTGCCCCCAAAAAGAATTTCACTGCATTTTGCAAGATTGGAAACTGGGAGTGAACACTCATCGTAGACTGACAAAGTTGTCTCTTCCTTCACTAATTGGGGGGAGAGAAAAACAACAACAACAACAAAACATAACAACTTGTTTAAAAATAACATACGTGAAATTGAAAATATTATCAAGTTTTTTTTTAAAAAAGACTTCGTGTTGATCATCTTGGCAGGTGTAAGCCTGGTTTTGCTTGTCATTATATTATTTCCCACAGCAACCAATCTCCTGTATGTACACAAATTAGAAACTAGCGACACACAAGACCAAATACCACAGTTGACAAAAATATATGCAAATGGAAATCTGTTTTTGGTGAGGTTGTTGTGTATAGAGTGTTCTTATCACCTATTGTCCCTCCTGGACTCTTGTCAAGGTGTGTTTTTCAGTTTTAATAAGTGTTATACAAACTGTGTTTTGTTGTACAAATTGCAATGCTGGATTACATGTGTGCATGTTTTTGGGATTATCATAAAAAACTGTACTTGTAAATACAGTAGAGTCCTGATTATTCATCCTAAATGGAATTGAAGGATAGTTTGATAATTGAAGATCAAACTGTGTTTTGTTGTACAAATTGCGAAGCTGGATTACATGTGTGCATGTTTTGGGGATTACCATAAAAAAACTGTACTTGTAAATACAGTAGAGTCCTGATTATCCAACCTAAATTGGATTGAAGGATAGTTGGATGGTGCAGAATACTGATGTAAAAGACGATGGTAAAGATCAGCTCAATTTATGACTCATTTTACAGTATTATTAAATTACAAATAAAATGTAATATGGCATCAAATGAAAAATCCCACGAACAGATTTTTTTTAAGATAATGTAAATTTGTGAATAAAAAGTTTATTTTTCAAAGAAATTAGTAATGGGCTTTTGCTCCTGAGCCTCCTTCCTTTTCTTTGTGGCACGGTCATGCCAGTGCCCGAGCGGTAGTACGTCTGTAGCAACCGAGTGCATTAAATGTAGAAGGTGCTTGGTAGTCGAGAGAGTGATTCATTCCGCTTCGTGCTGCATTGACTTTTGGGGAGATGAAGCATTCTGACAGAACATGTCAGAAAACCGAAGGTCGGATAACTGGGCCTCTGCTCTACTATACAGCCCAATGTATATTCCCACTTGCGTGCAAATGTAGTGAATTTTTGTTTCTTATGTGAGTAATAAGAAAGTATTATGTGTTTTAATTTTAAAAAATTACATCCTTTGAAAAACAGTCTTTTCTGTTTGAGTGTCTGTTTTGTCTGCATGAGTTCAATGTTTATTTCATATTTTTAGAGTCCATGTTTCGAAAGATATGTACAATTTTTTGTGACGATGCATCGTTTCTTTAAATGCCTAGAATTAAATCTTGCCAGTGACTGTTTACATTGCGTACGGTAAAGGTTAATGGAATTTTGTTTTTCACTTCTTTGCAGCTCTTGTCGATGTTACTAATGTACCTGAAGAAGAATCTCCTTCCGTTGATATTTTTGCAGTAGGTTTTGAAGAAATTGTTGACTTGAATGCCAGTAACATAATGGCTGCTAGGTGAGTGTGCTCACCAGTTCTTCTGTTCTGGAAAGAACTTACTGTTCATTTATAAACCAGTGTGCGTTCTTTCTCTTGTGTGGGGTTTCACATTTTTCCTTACTGTTGTCCGTAATTGTTGATCATTCTAGCACCCTTTCTTATTTATGTATTTATTTATTTATGGTTTTTTGATTATGTCAGTAGCTCAGACTGGATAGTATCGTATGATGGAACAATTGGTGACTTATAAATTGGAGAGGAGTGCTCATAGCCTGATTTAAGTTTGTGTTAATTTCTGCGTTCACATCTGTTGTGTGCCATGAGAGAATCTGAAAGTGTTCAACACGAAACAGAACTTGTTATGCATAGTTTTCTGTGATGACTTTGAGTCTCAGATATTAAATAATGTTGTCCAATGCATTATAATGTCTCCATTTGATTAATTACTTTTCAGTTCAGAAAATGCAAAGGCGTGGGGAGAAGAACTACAGAAGGTGCTGTCACGAGACAGTAATTATGTAATGGTGACATATGTGCAGTTGGTAGGAGTGTGTCTGTACCTGTTTGTTCGTCCGGAACACACGGCCTTCATTCGGAATGTAGCTGTAGATTCTGTCAAGACTGGTCTGGGTGGCGCTACCGGTAAGTTGATTTCTTCTAGTAGTGGATGAACCCGTTGATAGCAGATTAGTAATGTGTGGCTCTGAAAACTTAGTTCAAGTTAGTTTACACATACAGTGGATGAACCCGTTGATAGCAGATTACTAATGTGTGGCTCTGAAAATGTAGTTCAAGTTAGTTTACACATATCAGATCACCCCATTATTAGGGGTGACAGAATCTAATATTATTTTCCATCCTGTTCCTTGGTTTTGCGAAAGCTTATTGGCATTAGTGGAGAGATTTCATCAAACTGCGTGACCTTAAGCCACAGCCTATTTTAAAGCTGGACTCGCTTGCTCTGAGTCCATGAAAGTGACAAATCAAAGTAAAGATCTTTAGTATCATAAGGCAATAGGTAAAGATTGTAGTAATAATTATTTTATGCAGCATCGCACTGAAAAGTGTTTGTCTTTACAACAGGTAACAAAGGTGCCGCGGCAATCCGATTTGTTTTCTACAGCACCTCGCTGTGTTTTGTTTGTGCTCATTTTGCGGCTGGACAGTCGCAAGTTTCGGAGAGGAATGCAGATTATGCTGAAATTACGAGGAAAATAATGTTTCCAATGGTAAATGCTCATCTTTGCAATATTTTTAAAATTTGGAAAATACGATAAAATAATGGATGAAAGTGGGTAGTTGGAGAAAACAGTAGTAATAAACCGGTGGAAGCATGGCTGTCGGCAGGCGAGGGGGAGAATCTATGATGCAGGTATTTGTTTTGTGTGTGTCTGTACTGGGCAATTGATTTTTAAGAAATTTGTTTTTATGAACTTCTTGCCTTTGGGACATACTCAGTCTTCATACTTTTTAATCCTGTAGTGTATCATACGCTGCTGCTAGTGAGGACATTTATGAGTAGAAATAAAAATAAAATTCCAAGTCGAATCAGAATATGTGGAATTTGCTGTAGTTTCAAATTATAACCACATTGATAAGTGTTGCATGAAGCATTTTTATGTGCATTGAAGTTCACAGTAACTGAATCGTCATGAATTTTTGGCAGCAGAAATCTGCTGACTCCATTGAAGCAGAGTACTCCTTCATAAGGTGATAGTTGCTCATCTGTTCAATAAATACCCTGCCTTATATGGAATACAAAGAAAAAGTAAAATTCAGAAATCTGCACTGCAGTGGAAATTGTTCCCACAGATTTACAATATCTCTTGTGTCATGAATCATGCATTCTTTGAGATTGTAGGTGAGAGCTCGTCTTGTTAGTGCCAAATCTAGCATCCAGCGAATACCATTCCTCCTCCTGGTATTTGTTTAATAAATTATTAAGAAGTATGTAACTGTCAATTCACTAATTCTTGTAGTCTCTTTGTTAAGACAGAAATGTGTTAAAAAGGGTAGGTAGCTTTTTAATAATATCACTTTGTGTGTGTGAGAGAGTTAGATTTATGTGTTAAAAAGGAAATTTGCTTTGCATTTTGTCTCCACAGGGTTATCAGGTAATTAGGCTAGCGTTACATCTAATTCTAGGGCCGCACACTCAACTCACACGATTATGTGTTCTGGTGTGGTGATTTTAACTATCGCGTGGACATGGACAAAGACGAGATGAAGGAGCTTATCAAGAAGGGGGAATATGACCAGATAATGCAGCATGATCAGCTGAGGGTAAGTGACGGGCACTAAAATTCTTAGTGTTGCCTTTGTCAACCCCGTAGTGTTGTGAGTGAATATGGTTCGCACTACATGAAACGTATGTTGGATAAGTTATGGTGCGTTCACAGCGTGATTGCAGACGGGTTCTGAATGGGACAGCCTCTGTCTCTGTGGGAGTGTGAGCAGTGTGTCTGGTCCGGAAACTTGTTTTAGACAGGGAAAATAAGCGTTGGTATTTTTATTATTTGTCCCACAACTCATCACTTTTATTTTATTCAACCAGTGCCTTGGGATATTTATTGTTTACAATGTATTTTTCTGTGCTGTACAGTTTTTGCATTTCTGCTTGTGATTATTTGCCTGATATTTCAGAAGAAATATAATTATAATGCAGATTTGTGATCAGGGTAAGAGATGTATCTTTATGCAGTGACTGCAGAAACTTAACTAGAGTAAAGAGTGTGATTACTTCTGCCAAAATTAAAAATAAATTTACCTGATTCTAATATGATACTTATTTTGGTGCCTGTTTTGCCTTTAAATGGAACTAGGAATGCTGTTTATAAATTATGCTTTGTGAAGTGAACATAATCAGCAATTCCATATTCACATTCATATTTCTTTCACCTTTGTGTGTTTTGTCTTCACCACAGATACAAGGAATGAGTAGAAATGGTGGTGGTTCATATGCATGCAGCTTTATGGAAAATGTTTTGACTTTTATTTGAAAATTCTGTGGTTCTTTGAGTTGTGTGGCAAGTACCGTTAAGGCACTGGCACACACAATATATTTTCCGTCGCCAATCTCGAAATGGCGCTCATTTTATAGGACTGCTGTAAACTGAGTCGCATCCAAAAGGCCAGGCATGATGAGATACTAAGTACAGTACTGACATTTCAGGTTCAACAAGAACAAGGAAATGTATTCAAGAATTTTTTTGAGGGAGACATAAACTTTGCACCAACCTACAAGTATGACTTATTCTCAGATGACTACGATACGAGCGAGAAGTGCCGCGCACCAGCGTGGACAGACCGAGTGCTGTGGAAACGAAGGAAACAGATTCCAGACACAGGTATAAGATGTGATTTGTCCCTCGAGTTGTGTGACTTTCAGGCACTGCGAGAACTTCGTACAGGTTGCATTGCTACTGGATTGCAGTTGGTGGTACCTGAAATTGGTATAAACTGGAGCTGTGGTCTTCTGGGCATCATGTTGCCTTCCAGGTGGTTACTGACATTTCTCGGTCTTATGTACCTTAAATTATTGTGGAAATTAAAATCTACTGTTGTAGCTGTTATACATATTAATTAGTTTTCTGGGCAAATTTAGTGGAAACATTTCTTATTGTAACATGTGAAATTAAATACGCTTGTGAGTCGCTTGCACAGTTGTTGGCGATGTCAGGCAACCTTCCCATTGACTTGAATATTTTCTCATAGAAGAATGATCAGTAATTTAAAAGATTAGTCAGTTTTATTTGTGGTGGTACACAGATCAAACTGCCGTCCACTGCTACAAACATGCACGACAAAATGTCATTCGTTACAGTAGATTTTTTCCTCATTTTGTAATTTGTATGGTCCCAGCCCAATTAATTATCCCATTTCTTCTGTTTGGCTTCTCCTCGGTTTTGTCGCCCATTTTCCTCTGGCCTCTGAATTACCAGCAACTTCTGAATCCTTGTAGCTATTTGGTAGCATTCCTTGGATAGGAGAGGGACCTGTCAAAAGTTGTGCACCGCCTGTACAGGACGTACAACAGGAAATTACTGACGAACATTATGCCTTGATGGGGTTAAAATTCACCATCACAGTGCTCAAGTGGCCACTGTGATTTGCATTTTCCTTGGCTTGATTTTCATATATACACTGTCCCCAGATAGTTCAACAGCAAAATCGTGTGAGGCAGCCTCAATATGGAGTTCTGCTCTATCACGGAACTGCGTGATGTGGACAGTGTGTTCGACCTGCATCAGCGTAACATGTACCCAAACACTTGAATCGAAGTTTGGCATTTAAGAAAATTTATGACTTGGTGAATGAGTGGGTGTTCATGTTCGTGAGGCTGAGCTGCTCTTCATGAACTAGTATGATGATAATGTTCTGTTACTGTCATGAAGCAAAATGTGATCCCTGTAGATTTGTCATCAGACTGGAATCCAGGACGGCTTGTCCATTATGGAAGGGCAGAACTGAAACAGAGTGACCATCGTCCAGTAATTGCAGTCATAGATATTGAGATTTTCCATGTAGATGACTCCAGACGCAGTCAAGTGTTCATGGAAGTCGTTCAGGATTTGGGGCCTCCGGATGCGACAATCGTAGTTCAGGTACGAGCCCAGTCATTTCTGGTAGTTTGCCAGTGCCATTCACTCTTTGTATGAATTGCACCATTTTGTGAAACAGAGTTGATTACGAACGTTTGGTACATTCATGGTTGCCGTGTTTTATTATGACGTCTTTGCAGTAATGACTCCATAATACTGACTAGTTTAATTCAGCGCTTAAAGTCCTGCAGTACAGCTCTAAGGCTTTGAAAATAATGACAAAATTCTGATTGAATATTTGTAAAAAGGAACAATCCCTGCATGTGTGTGCCACAGAATGGAACTTGTGCTCCACTTCCAAGTACAAGACAAAGTTTTCAGATTGCCATGTTGGTTTTATGCACCATGACAGTGACGCTGTTCTTCGATTGCTTGGCACAATCAGTAGGATTCGTAGAGGTGTTCTGGGCTCTGTCGTAAGGAAGCAGGCATAAATCAACTTTGGCCCCTGAACACTTTTACTTCTGGTGGGAAAGTTCTGTGTACTTTCACATTCGATTGTACAAAATGGCCTCTTTTTCATTGGTTCACTTTCCTTGCTGTACGAGTCAGTACGTAGGGTTTTCAGTGATGTTTCTTGTCATATAAAGAAAGAAAGTTTAAATTTATTTATTCTGAAGATGGTTTTGATATGTTGTGCTCTCATGATTTGGTGCGTGTGATTGGGACAGCGGAGTTTTGGTCTTGTGTTGGCAGGTTGATGATGGTGAAGGGAGTGGGGAAGATGTGTTTGATGACAACTTCATGATGGTTCTTTTGCAAGAATTATCGCAGATAGGAGAAGTGATTTTGGTTCGGTTTGTTGAGGACACTATGTGGGTTACGTTCAGAGACGGTCAGTGTGCGCTGATGGCCGCGAAGAAGGGCACCACGCAGGTATAATGTTACCATCTGGGGACATTTCCTATAAGTTATTAAATTTTTGCCTTTTATGGAACTGTTCAAACATTTTGAATTTTGTAACTTATGGTAGAATGAGCAATTACATTGTCACATACAACAGCATTTTCCAAATTGTCTTCACGTCATACGTAGAATGTATTTCATCTGAAAATGTCACAAACCTGTCGCAAAATAACACTTCAGGTGAGAAAATTACATAAAACTGAACAGAGCATAATTTTTGTATTGTAAAAAATAAGTAATTCTGCTTTACACCACTGGTCTGTTCTCATACTCTCGTTGAAAACCACTTTCGGATTTCTCTTTTACTTCGTACAAGAGTCTGTTGGAAAGCGAATACTGTGATTGTATAGCGGTTTGCCAGTCACAGCGTACACATCTGAGTAACGACCAACTCATTGGAGCAGAATCCTTGTTGAGAAGCTGATTGTTATCCAGCTAGTAAAGATGCACCATTTTTTATGGAACCTAAAGACTAAGAAAACCCCATCCTGTGCCATGTGCGTCCAATCCACATCTTCCTCCCTCTTTCTTTGAGATTCTCCCATCTCTGCCTCTTTCCAACCAGAAATTTGTACACATCCATTATCTTCCATAGGCATGCTACGTGCCCTACCCATGTCATATTCCTTTATTTGACTGTCTCAATATTTGACTTATTTTTCCTTGCACGCAGGAAGAATGGTTGTAGGTGGCAGTATGTGCTACTGGCCTCTCACTTATAACGATCAGTGTGTTCGATATACGATACTATTTATTGTACATGTTTTCTCCCTCTACAACTAAAGACCAAGGGCATTCATACTTCTTATAGACAGTAATTCTCATACTCAAGTTTGTGGTGTTGGTACTCTAAAGAAAAAGCGTAAGAACTTTCCAACAATCTCGATGTATACGAAGATTACAGCCAGAGATGGGAGCAAACTGATCCTGAATGTCATCAGTAATTTGAATTGTCGTTGCAGTTATGTGGGCATGTGTTGCGGCTTGACTTAAAGAACGCCAACTGGAAGGAGCAGGCGCAAAAGGAAATTGAGCTGTGCACAAATAACACGACGCCACTTTGTGAGGAAGTGGATCCAATCTATGTTACTAATGGCGATGAACTGTACAGTAAGTTGTCTTCATACTTGCATGTTTTGTTAAAATCTCATTAATTTCAGTCATGAATGTTTTACCTGGTGTGGTTGAAGTGCCTTCTTCACTCTGTGTTTCAAAACTGTATTATAACTTGATGATGCCAGCGGGTACTGACTGTCGTGAAACATGCCTGGGGCGAACGTAAAACTCACTATAAATAATAACTAATAAGACTGAAAAAAAGGTCTGTTGCTGATGCTTGCAGTTTCCGTGTGATTGGATGCTTTGATTTGTTAACGTAATTTATTTATGAATCTAGCTGCTGGTAGGCCAGAAGATGAAATGTCGACGAGCGTAGCAGGTGGAGCAGATCTAGGACCAAAGTTGGGAAATCCTCCACCCCGGCCTGCGCCACCTTCCAGGCCCCCTCTTCCTACTGCAAAGTCTCCGTCACAAACAAAAAAGCAGATGCCAAGGGTGAGTTAGTTTTGTGTAACAGCAGATTGAAATTTGTAGTTGTATTTTTAGTTAGTTTTCAGGACGTTCTGGAATTGTTCGTAGAGGAGTCATTTTGGAAAGGACTGTTACGTGTAGAACACTGAAGCAAAAGTATGGCTGCTGGACTTCTAACTCTCGGTATTATCGTAACTACAATTACATAATTTAGGAACGTAGTAATTGTGTACTCCACAGTGAAATACAAAGGCATTCTTTACGTATCTGGCTGAATGGGTTGAAGGTAGTTAGTTTAATTCAGGCTGGGTTTTCCTCAACACAGTCAGGTGAGTGTTGATCCAGGGGGATGTATCCAGACCACCCCTCCTGTCCTCAATTTCTGAAGCCTGTGACATCTAGGTGCCATGTCGATGTACAGTGGCCAGTTATTCATTTAAATTAGCCCAACTAGTTTCATTGGTCTTCTGAATTTAGTCATGATATTACGCGATACTTCCTGTAGACTTCCTCGAAATTTATAAATTGCTGATCCACTCATTTTTAGCAGTATCTGACTAATGCAAAATATGTGATCAGTATTTGTCCATTCCATCAAAATCCACACGGATAATTCCCACACGGCGTTAATGTTGACAGAAGAATGTTGGATAAAATTTTGTTTGACTTTATAACTGTGATATTCCTCAATAATTTCTGCAGTCAACTTTATTTCGTTTCTTATAAACGGATGCTGTAATCGGTGCCTTCCACTGCACCGGCGCATTATGCGGAGTGTTTAATAGTCTGAAGTATGCCAGCTGTTGAAATGTAAGTTCTCTGTGTGTTTCCAGGCTGGAGTTGTAAGCATCTCGCACTCCGTCATCCAGTCAAGTCGGCAGGATGCTGTTACCAAAGCTCCAGAGCAGAAATGTTCACCCATATATGGCCAGCTGGAAGACAGTGGTGCCATCTATGAAGAAATTCAAGATGGAGAGCATAGTTCTCCGATTCCATCGGGGCCACCGCCTCCACCGCCTCGTTTTGATTCCACTGAAAAAGAGGACTTTACAGTCCCTCAATCCACCCCACCGCCTCTCCCTCAGCGACAGCTTCCGCCTCCACCAGTACCAGATCGTTCTGCGGTTCCGCCCCCGGTTCCAGCTCGAGCCGGCGTGCCCCCTCCCATTCCAGCTCGAACCTCCAACACGGCCACTCCCACTCCTCCGGCTACTCCCCGTCGGAACGTGAGTTGAACCGACGTGGGTCTCGGAACTGGGCATAGTACACGTAGCGCAGTAGACTTAGACGTATGTGTGTCTGCAATATGGCCATACAGGTATCATGTGGGATACAGTATTTATTTTTTTCTTGGCTTTGTAGCTACAAATTCAGTATTAGCGTACTACGTGTATCTGCCGTAACTAGACTTCGCGGTACACGTCTCATTCTTTTGTCTTTATTTAGCATCGCGCGGAGTCTGCGAGAAGTGCGCTCGGATGCTTCTCAGACATCTTGTTCTGAAAGATATTTTCTGCGTGTGACTCTGAACGCGCGGTTTGCGGTCTCTAAGTCCGACAGCAATTGAATGCTGTATGTGCGGTTCCGTTAGCGCACAAAGTGTTGACTCTTGTTTCAGTACGATCTCAGCGATTGGTAAAATGTTGTCAGACATTCTCATAGAAGCGAGAAGAACTTGCCTATTGAAATGTAATTAATTTCTGATACTGACCAGATCCGAGTACAGATTTTTATTTTTGCGGACCAAAGCCTTTATCTCAGACTCTGCTGGACCAGAAGACAAAAGAAAAGTTACGGATATTTGAGGCATTCGCCACAAACCGTGGTAATTTGTTTTCATGTCAGACAAACCTTGCTTTTGGTTGGCTCTCCTTCAAAATCCACCGCGGCAAGAATCGCGTTTTGTTCCGTTAGAATTCCGCAGATTGCGAGAAAGATCAATGACGGGAATTGTAGCAGTCGTTGATGACTGAGCGTGCGCTGAAGTGTCGTTCTGCTTCTGTAACACGTGCTGAATGTGTGCGTGTATCCACGTAATTGTCAGTAGAGTACATTCCAGTGATTGGTGATTCTGTCATGATCACCGAGCCTGTATTTACAAGCTTGCTTATTGGAATAGGCCACGTTCATTGGTCACTTTTTGAGAATGGATTGAAAAATAAGCTTCATCATTAAAGTACCAAAAATTGTATTATATTTTAGATATTGTACATTTACGTTCCTTCAGTTGCAAGAGATGTAAATATTTAGAATAATATAATCCTGATATTGCTGTTTGTTTAAGACAGTTTCTGAACTTCCTCTTCTCACTCTGTTTCGTATAATCAAGGGGTGTGGGGGTGGGGATCGGATTCATCTCGATCGGTAGAGATGCAGCGAGGCTGTGAGCGACATAAAAAGCTCGGGATCTACGAGCCGATTCTCGTTGGGGCCTCTCCTCCAGTTGGTGGTTGTCTGAACATAATGAGGTTTTCTAAGATGTGGTGGACCGCAGCATCCGAAGCGAACGGTGCCTTTTGTAAGCTGCTGAATCTCATCATGGACAACGGATGTGGGACTTTTATGTCTAAGGTCTAAGTCTGGTTCTTCCGGATTCCCACGCTTCAAGCCTTGTGGATGGCGAACGTTTGTTCCGTGTGTAGCGATTTATGTTTTCAGGTGGTCTTCACGCCCCAGCACGAGTCTGTCCGTTTGTCATATTTTTACTAGGAAGTGGGCAGCCTGCTTGCTGTGGGGTCATTTCTGCGCGACGGTGGAAACTCGTTAAGTCTTCTTGCTGCTATTCCTTGACCTCTCCTCTGCCGCCAGTGGGGCTTCGCTGGGGCCTGGCCCCCACGATTTATGCCCCATGGGCCTTGTCCTGTTAGCACGAGAATGACTTACAATCATTTTTGGAGCGCATTGCATGTGACAATGGCCTAAGATCACGCGAGTGATGTGGCAGGTGAAGAACGCCTTTGGAATGTCAGTGTACTCCGAGAGTACATGTTCCTGGCGACACTGCAAGTACAGCAAATTTTAATAGAGATTGTACTGGGAAAAAATTGCGTAATTTACTCAGGCACGTGTGGGGGTGAATGCAAGAACAAAAGAATTTGCAGTCAGAATTACGAAAAGTTTATAGTAGTCTTTTGTTTTATTGCGTTATTTCCGTTCTGGGAATGTTGATTATATTTGTATGTGAAGCTAAATCAGCTTTTGTAATATAACGAGCCTTTGTCCTGTATGAGGAGTTCCCAGTGTTTCTCAGTAACTGGGGCACGTGTGCCCTTTAGGGCAGTTATTGAAATTTCGTCGGTATTTATTAAAAATGCTAAGCAGGCAGGTTCACATATTGCGCCATTTATTCTGGTTGACTTGTTCTTGTTATCAGCTATGTAACTATTTAGTTTTGCCACGGTCTTTTCATCACGCTGTCTGCTACAATATTATTTAATTCTGAAATTTGCATTGCATATATATTTTTAGAATGAGGGATGATTTTCCGTGGAATTAGATACAATCCCAACATGAGTTGAATATTAATATTTTATGCCCCTTTGATTATAATAGACTGTTCCCCAAGTTCACTTGTGGTTCAGAGCGTACCATTTAAAAAGCTACCTAACAATAGTCACGTGCTACGATACAAAACTGAAATCAAGCAGTTTCACCCCCGACTAATATCCACCCTCGAATCAATGTCACTATTGTTGCGAGGCCGCTGTTCGTGACAGTTGTACAAAAATTGTGCAGGTGTGAATATGATGTATTAATTATCCTGACAAGGAAGTACGGAATATACAACAGTTGGTTTAATCGATTTTTGCGTGAAATGATTGATCAATTAGTTGGCGTCTCGTTTGAGATGAAACACACTGTATATAGAATGCTGGATTAGAGATGGACATGTTGTAGTCGTCGATTATGAATAATCGATTTAATCGATCGAGAGCTACACGTATGTTGCACTTAACGTGGGCATAACCTCGTGTAGGCAGCAGGTCTGTTGCAGTTTGTGTGATTTAGTGATGTGACGATGTTTGCTGCAAGGTTAATCGGTAAGTGCATTTTCAGAATAATCTAAGTAAAATTAATATTCTGTTTGGAAGCAAGTACAGCAATCCACTGCCAACCGCAGGGGTTTCGTTCTTGAATACATCGCATTGTGTGGGGTTAGTAGAAATGTGAGTACTTGAGTTGCTCGTTCCTTCGCTAAACGCAAGAAAGGTATCTACGTAATATCATCACGCATAAAAATTTTAACCTCAGTCGTAATAAGGAAGCTAGGAAACTGCTCTTGGGTAATTTTATTTTTCACGTGCGTTAACCCAAGCACCGCGGCTGGCTTCGAGTTGCTGTGCGATGTAAGTTAACCGCGTTCTCTGCAAGTTGTGACTCCCAATACCGACTGGGAGTGCTGAGTTACAAGGCGGTGATATATATTCGAAGCAAGTCAGAGAGCAAAACGTCACATTCAGGAAATTAAAATGAAACAAAATGGACTCGGTCGCTTATACGTTGTATTTAGAGACAGGTACAGTTTCGCCTCATTCAAAAATGTGTTTGTTTCTGAAACAACATCAGTTTGTGTACAGAAGCTATTCAAAAATGTGTTTGTTTCTGAAACAATATCAGTTTGTGTATAGAAGCTTGGGTATCTCGGTCAGTGCAGTGACTGACTATGGAGTGGAAAACCGGATTCAATCCCCTACAAGGACAGAGGATTTTTCTTCTAGCCTCTGCGTACACCCGGAGGTACCACTCACCCCTAACAAGTGCCGATGTTAAGAACGACTATGGGAGCTATATAACTCTCCCCTCAAGCGCCTAATGGCGAGTAGCAGGATATTTTATCAGTCTGTATACACTAAGTTTCTTCCAGGGGCCAGATACACGATGGACTGCAGCGAAACTGAAGTATTTTCGGGGCTGTGCGGTCTGGGGGTGTTTTTGCCCGCTCGAATGATTGCTTGTTTCTGCGTTGTGCTGCCATCTGTAGGCAGAGGCTGTCTCCTCGTGCAAGGAGTTCTGCGCGAAGGGCCAAGGCTCAGAGCGGGGTAGCGCACATATCCACGAATATGTGCACAGTCGCTGGTGCTCTTAGCCACTGCACTGCCTTTGAACCAGAGAGTGGATGCTGGAGGTTTCCGGCAGAACATAAAATTTTGTTCGTGTTGGTTGAATGTATAACCTCTGTTTTACAGGAAGTTACGTATTTTGTATCTGGAAGAAAACTGACACGCAACATAAAGTTGATATCTAATTAAGATCTGCGCTGTTCACCAGAAGAGAAAGCGTTTGTAGCTTAGCAACAATCGCGCATCAGACTGGAACCCCTGACGTCATAAACAATTGAGTTTATTTTCTTCTCTCTGAGAAAATGGTTACTTAAATTATGGAAGCGACGTTATATGTGAGTTATTAAGAGAAAGTAAGCAGTAATTGAGTTGTACCTAAACGTGAATTAATATTTGCAGTCTGTTAATTCCGTTTTGTGATTGGTAGCTGCTAAGATGTAGCGACGGATAGGAGACTTTGTTGAATTGGAAGCGTCCTGTCGACTCCCTTGTTTCGCATTTAACAAGAAGCAGGCCCTAACTCCATTGAGTGTGAACTACAACAATAATACAGACTTTTCTTAGCGATTCTCAAAAGGAAAGTTTGTTTCTTAATTTATTTCTTCGAGTGCACACACAGGCAAAGCTTCTGTTTATGAATATTCAAACAGCTTCATGTTCTAGTCGGTCGGCCGCAGGGCGAAGACAGTGCCTCCGCCAAAAAAGTAGTCCGTAGCCAGGCTCTGTATCACATCGCCTCTTCAATTAGTCGCTTAATCTCATGACCGCGCTGTAAATTCAAAATGTTGAATAAATGAGTGGATTTGTTACACTTTTTCTGGTAACAACGCCTTCTATAATGCAGGAGCGTTGTTTGAGTTCGAGGGCCTTCGCCAATTCGTGTCAGGTGATACTCGAAGTGTGTCTGTGGTTTGTCTAACTTCTACTGCACGTATTTCAAGAGTCGAAGCTACAAATCTCGATTGTCACGTCTTTATTGGATTCGATTTTAATTGTAACATGGCGTCGACTGTTACGAACTGGCACTCTCGAATCTGGGGCACAGAAATCAATACAACCGATGCTTTTTCTGTGACCCGCCTGAACAAGTTTCGTTGTGGCTGTGGCCTCGAGAACCGGACTCGGTCGCTTTAAAAGAGAACAAGCCCGAGTGAGATTCGAAGCCGTTGCGTTGGGAAACTGTTTTCCTGTAACGAAGCTGATCTGTCCGTTGACGCGAGGACTTTCAATGCGATCGGAACCCAAAGATCGTCACATCCCTTTCGGTCCCGACTCGCAGCTTCCCCGTTCCGCGTCGTATCTGCGTATTCGAACGTCCGTTCCCCGCTGATAAGTCACGGAGCCGTGGAGGAAATTGGAAACGTTATCCGTCAAAGTTTGTCGCTGTTTGGGTGACTTGGTGGAAGGGACAGTCTCCAGGAGCGGAAGCTGGATGCAGAGCTGATCGTCTTAAGGCAGTGGCGCGCGTACCAATGGCCACACTTTCCTAGCTGTTTCCAGTGATCTTCCAAAGCTCACAGTCTTTTTAAACACCAATAATTGTTGTTGAATCCTGTGTTTGCGCGTAAATTATAGGTTAGGTGGGAAAGAGGCTCTTTTAGCGATGTTATTACATCGCTAGTTTGGAGGAAATGCAAGAAATTGCCAGAATATTTAGTGATTGGTACCGCTGCTGAGTTACGACACCAGTAAAAATAATTACTGCTGTCGGATTTTTTTCTTAAAATAAAGTGAACTGAAATTATTAAATTACTGACTTGTTATGACGGTGTAATGAATGAATCGTATTGGGGGACGATGGCAAAAGCAGAATCGTATTCACAAAGAAATTAAGAGCAAACTGAAATCGGGGAAATGCTTGCTGAAAAGGAATTCTGATTCGTCCACCTTCCTCCCTGCCATCTAGTGACGTAAAGATGAAAATAGCCGACACGTGGGTGTAATCTTACCCCCTGTTGTTTGGGGAGTGGAACCTGCCCTCTTACATTAAGGGAGGAACAGATCGAGGGTGAGAACTGGACGCTTACGAGAATATTGAGTACTGAGAGTCAGGAGGTGACTGTATATAATCACTTAATGAAGATACCCATAATTTGTAGGATGATCACCTCAAGGAGGATGAGATGGGCAGAACATATAGCACACATGCGGAGATGCTAAATGAATAAAAAAAATTGGTTGTCAAATCTGAAATGAAGATCCACTCGAAAGACCTGGGTGTAG